TTCTGATGAGTATAGAGTACCTACATTACAGAATAATAATAATTGTAATTAATCAGTCCATTATTGCAATTCATGTGACGGATTGCGGGAAGTACTGTACTGGTCATATATACGCGTGTATTTATCCATTAGTATAATCCATTTACACGTAGTTATTAATATTAGTTGTACGTATGCTAGCAAACTAGATCAATAACTTTGATCCTTTGGCAATGCATCCATATCCATTCGTTGAGGTTAGTGCAATATAAGATTGAAAGGATCTACTGCGTTTGCGATGTCATTTTACCTCATCATTAGGCTATTTTAGACCTGGCTAATTGCTATTACGTCATACATGGTACTGTGTAGTATAGTGTATAGGCATTGGTGACTCCGTAAGATGGAGTTTACAAATTGTTTACAGGCGCGGTATACCTATCTTATCTGCCTATTGTAAGTTCAATCGGTACGTAGGCAATATCCTCCAACTCATAGAAGTCACCATATTTCTCCTTACGTCTAGCTGAACGTTTATGCTTGCTGTTGCCGTTTTACTGACAAAGAGCTACAGTAATCCATTGGCTCATTTTACTCTACTTTTGGTCTATTTACCTTGAATTGCTTGCTCGTCACCATACTTTCATTGGATGCTTGATTCATTTCTGGTCATGATCATAGGGTTGATTTTGAGCGAAATTTTGTGTATCATGGGCAGGTGAGCTCCATTTCTACCGCCTTGTATCCGGTAAAGTGAGGGAAAGGATTGCCAACTAGATGACAATATCTATTGATTGAATGCACTCCGCTTTGATTTTCGACTTGTTCAATGGATATTTTCATTTCACCTCAGGTAATTACGACTACTCCTCGTACAGTACAGTATCGTCCTATACTGTACAGAGCGTTACGGACTTACAGTACTTGGAGCTGTATTCGCAGTCAGGGACTATTTTGGAAAGTACTGTACTTCTGATTGGCCGTGCGTACAGTACAGTACTAACCCTAACCCTGTCTACTGACATTAGTACCGTACAATACGGTATAAAGTACGTACTGTACACTGTACTGTACAGTACTGTACAGTGTACAGTAATTTAACGTTAGTTTCAGTACAGTATACTGTACTGTACTGTACAGTACATACTGTACTGTACACTGAGTGTACAGTACTGTAGGTTTACGATATCCAATTTTTCCGAGTCTGCAAAGAAAATAAACTCAGTACTGTACAGTACAGTACATTAGTGCACAGTACAGTACAGTACAGTACAGTGCGTTCACGTGATCGTGAGTGTACAGTGTACAGTGTACAGTATAGTACACTGCACTGTGTTGTACAGTACAGTACTGTAAAGTGTCAACCAGTTTTGCGAGAGACAACAATAACTTTTTAGAGTAGTCGCTGCTGTAACACTCAGTACCTGTACACAGTACTGTACTGTACACTGTACAGTACAGTACAGTATAGTGTACCGTACTATACTACATTGTACTGTACTGTACAGTGTACAGCAGGACATACTGTACAGTACTGTACGTGTGAAGGTACTGAAGCGTATCGTTTAACCCTACCCTTCATCCGTACCGTTTTACTGTCCATACGTCGTAAGTTTATATAGGGTTTCGACTGCCATTTTCCTTCGTTAAACCGTTTTATTGATTCTTCTTCTTTTTCTGCTTCAGTATTGTGCAATTATACTATAGCTTGGATACTAAAGGCCCAAATAAAAAAAATAAAACGCCTTGAATAGCAACCGGCACGAAAGCAACACCGATATTTGACAGCGTTTGGATTTTGAAAGGTAGCCTTTGCTTCTTCTTACGATAGCAACGCAATACCCAGATTTGCTGTCACCGTGTACAGTAAGTACAGCCACTGGATGAATTCAACGTTCGATAATGATATAATCCAATGTTAGATAACTGCATTCAATGTTACTTTTTCATCTTTTATTTTCTTTCAACATCATGCAGGCTATCTCCAATGCCTTCATGAATGACTACAATCTCCACTACTGTAGTGATGTAAGCGCGCTGTAGGTTGTTCAAGTACAGTACTGTTGTTACTGCACTGATTGCATCATCCATACTTTACTGCATAATTCAACGTAGAGTAGCAGTCAGAAGTCCAAACCAATGCTACCATACGCGTAGACTACTGAACAGTAAACAAATGTTGGTAGAATGGAGATGAACACATTGAATCATTCAAAAATAACACAACTATGTTTTTCTTGCTAGTTATTCTATAAGATTATTTTTCGAAAGATAACATGGATAAACATGACTGTGCAACTATGTGACAGGCTTTTTCATTTTTGATCGTAAAGTGGATTCGATACTGTTTTTTCTTGCTAAGCTGTTGTATGAGATTATTTTTTGGAAACATAACACAAAATGAAACTAGACACGACTATGCAATAGGATTTTTCATTTTTGATCGTAAACTGGATTAAATGTAAAACACTTTGATTGCTCTACTCTACTCTAGTTGACCGGTCCCGTATCTCCAAGTAGATTAAATTAAAGTAAAGTACAGTAATTGCTGTATTATCATTATCAATGGTCGATTCAAACTGTGGCCGTCATCACCAGCAGTTGTACTTGAACTAAAGCGATATCAAATCGTCATTATAGATTAAAATGTAATCTTCCAGTACAGCGCAGTAATCCCCATACTAGCATATGAATAGATTACTACATTAAGGAAGGAAATAACGGAATTGGCTTTACTCTAGCTTCGTGGCCTTTCACTGTTTCGTTCAAAGTTGTCTTCAACAGATAGCTTCACTCGACACCCTGAGGATTTGCCTATCTCATTGAATCATTCTTTCACTACTGTACTGTAGACGAGGATAAACGAGGACGTTGGATAAGCATACAACGATCATGACTTTGTTATTTAGTTTATTAAGAATAATGGTATGTGCCATGATCGTGATCGTTTTTACTGTTTCTATTGCAGTATGTCGATTGTCGACCTTATGCGATCATGACGGGTGGACCAGTTGTTCGCATAATCAATCAATCATAATAATCTCGACTATGCCGATATTGAGGTACAATTGACAGTATAGTCTACCCTTTCTCGAATCATCAATGGAATAATCCCACCAAAGGCTAGTTTAGCTTCCATACTAGCAGATATAGTCATTGTACAAGAAGATGCAAATGAATGATTCCACTATATTACAAGCGATGATAAGCTACTGTATTCCGACAGTAGCCATTTTTGGGGGCCCTTCTTCTTTTACTAGACGTGGAACATGGGTGTCTATGGTTACCGTAGTCTACCAATGCAATTCATTTGTACTGTAGTCTGACTCTCCAGTCTCTAAAATGGGTCTCTAGTCTGACTCTACAGTACGTACAGCCAAGTCCCAATACAAGGGTAAAACTATACTGTGCCGTATCGTACCGTGCCGTATCGCATCCCGGTGCGATACGATACGTGCGTACGTGACCACCAAAAAGGTGAAGAATGCAATTTTGCCTTGCCCTTGTCTAGTCTACACTATTATTGAGTCAATCCATTCTACCATTGTCGATTGTTATACAGATACCTTATCCACGCTGGCCTCTTCTAGATAGTGTATAGTTGTACTAGGTAGAAAGCCAGAGCAATGGACGCTCGGTAAAATGGAGTCCATGTTGTTGATTAATTAGATCATTGAGCAACAATTTTGGACCTAGTGATGTTCTATCTATCATGGGCAACAAGGGCTTTAACCCTTGAAGCTATGTGTCAATGTATTGAAGCAGTAGAGTGATAACTTGATATACTGTTTTGGATATTGTTTGCTTATAAATAAAATAAATTCAAAACAACACGCAAACTGGTTCAACTCGTCCAGTTCAACACGTTTCAACATGGCAATCATGTAAGCGATCAAGCACAAACACCAACAACTGATGTTGTAGCAATTTTAACTTTATGTAGTACGGATGACCAGGATGATCATACTCATGATTCGCCTATGTTGTACTCTAAACTATTCGACTTTCGACTTTGAACTTGTCAGTTGATGTACTCTACAGTGTACACTACAGTATGCACACCGCTGTACAAATAGATTGGAATCCTGTACAAGGCATAAGCAATTGCATTATTCTAGTGTATTCATTCTTGATGACTACTGCAGTGTTGACGAAGTAGCACAGACAGTTCTCCATTCCAACGTGATAGATGTCCATCTATTTGGGATCCATTGAACTCAATGACGCAAAATATTGGTAGGGCTATTGTGCTCAAGACTTGAATTTTATCCGGTAAAATAAGTGTTGTTTATTATACAAGCAAATAACCCTGATAGCGATTAGACTGGATCAATGGCGCAATATCATACAACATTTTAGACCGTAAGCAGAGGAAAAAAGTACTGCATAACATCAGTGTTTTTACCAAGAATCAACAATAAACTCCCTAATGGACAGTAATGTCCATGATACTGAAACAGATCGCCTTTCTTCACTTTGCATACAACATCATAGTCTATGTCCACCATGCACTAGATTGGGTGATGAATGCTCATTGAGTAGTCAATAGGAAATCCAGGATCGAAAGTGATGTCATATTGAGCAAATTGCTATCCACTGGTATAGTATATTACGTAACGAAATAGTCAACCACAAACAACAATAAATGATTGATCAAGTATAGGTGATAACAGTACAGTACTTGATGACAGTAATAGGAGTGCAAAGGTAAATCTATTTTAGCCATCCCTGATGTAAACAAGACTTCAGACGAGTTCACTACTGTAGAAGGAAGGATTGATCTGATCTTATTCGCGTAATACGAATGCTATACAGTACTGTACAGTAGTAGACTTGTACAACATTGCTAAAATTGGATACTTAATTAAAGTACTGTCGTACACTAGCTCCAAATACGGACTGAACTCTCCTATGTCAATATTGTTATCATCAGTGGTAACCTAATTGAAGTTCTGATAGACGTTGATGTTCTTTGTTGACACATTTAGAGAAAGATCGAAAGAGAAAACAGCAATCAAGACATGTCTAGTGTGTTGAATAACTTGGATGACATCGTTCATTCCTATCAACAATTATTGGTTGCTACGGATTCCGTCAAGGAGACTTTGTCAAACAATCGCGACCTGACAAAACACTTTATTCGCCAAAATACTGCACAATTATTCGATGCTGTACGTAGTCGAGAAACCTGGCTATTAGACCAAGCCGATTTACTATACCAAACCAAAATAGATTTGCTACAAGATCGGCGTGAATTAATTAATCAAGCAATTGGCTCTTATCATCAAGTTAAAATCAACTCAGAGGATATGAATGAGTTGCCCAGCGTGAAGGATAGCTTTCGATGCCGAATTGACAACATGGAGACCTTCATTAATCAACAACAACAACTTGCTTCTAGTGGTTGCATAAACTTTAATTCTGAGACCGAAAAACTAATCAAACAACTAAACAATTTTGGTAGAATTGACACATGCGATGGCCAATCCAATTGCCAGTGTTTAAACTATGTAAGAAGCGTAGCTTTTGAAACTCCATTGATGCAAAACGCTAATAAAACAGTTGAAGATGACGACCAGGATCAAATTATTGCTAGCGATACACCCACAGCTATCGAAGAATGCATTCCGCGTGTGACTTCTAATTCACCTAGTCAAGATACAAATTATCAAATGAAAACTTATAACAATCTTGATAGAAAGCGAAAAAATTGTTGCGGCAATAAGTACAACTGTGCTGCCTTATCGTCCATCATTCAATCTAAAAATAATCAGTATTCATCTGAAAAGTGGCTTCAAAGCAAATCAACACCACAAAATGAAAAGGAACCAGAGTCTTTTCCTATAAAAAGCCAATATCCCCATAACAGCAGTGACTGTCAGCAAAATACAGGACCCTATGATAGCAAGAAGAAAAATTCATTGATGCTAGACACTGATCATTGGTTAGTTGAGCGCAACTCTCAATTACAAAATACACCTTCGACAACCTTGATAAATACCATAACCACGTTTCCTGTTTTTCACCAAAAAGATGACATCAAGACATGGTTAAGTAACGAGAAAGAAATCAACAATAATCCTGTTGAGAATTTGAAATGGAAACATGATGATGATTTAAACAACCAATGGAATAAGTCATTCGATTCTCGTTCTGAAGCTTCGTCAATTTACACCTTTACTTTTCCTTATGACAACTCAGATTCCAATTTATGGCTTGCAAAACGCTTTAAATCGGATGATACCAACCAAGATGCTTCAAATCGATCATTGTACGATAGAAAAAGTGACCATTCAGAAATGGCACATGCTGTAAACAATGATTCGAATAATACTGAAGTTTGGGATTTATCAAATTGGCTGGCCGGGCAACCTATTACAGATACTACCAAAGATGAAACTAATGACTTTTTACGTGATGTTGCGCAGTATTTTCGTCTTGTTCGCGTAGAAGATTCAAATAAATGGTTGGCAAATAATCATCTTACTGCAAATGATGAATCTAGTACTATTGTTGAAAATTTACAATCCATATCACTATCATCTACTGATCTAAGCTCAAAGCCTAAGGAATCTACAGATTATTATTTCGATTGGAATACTAATAAAAATATGGATTTATCATTTTGGATAGCTAACTCTTAAGATTACTTACTCTATATCATTTGTAAGTTGAGAATTGACCACTATGCAATAAACGGCCTATTTTTATTTTAATAAAAAAGAAATCACGCTTTGTTTATTAAATTCTTTATAGTAATATTAAACTCGTATGTTGTTAGGGTCTACTTTGCTTCTGAATATGTTTACTACACGTTAAATTTTTTTTTGCATTAGCTGTTATCATTTATAATCGGTCAACTGGAATCCTCATAAATGCAAGTTACTTTATATTTTAACCAGAATCATATTAATATGAATTCCTTAATTTAAAATATAGGATATTAAACCTACGGTAATAAATCAACTAATGATAAAGAATTATAAAACAACTAAAAGTACAAAGCACTAATGTAACGTATTTTCTCCTGTCATATTATTATTTTTAAGTTAAAATCATTTCACTCATTACATAGTTCTGATGGTATAATTTGTAATCTGTATCCTAGAAATTTGTACCAATGACTACACGTAAATAATTCCAAATCTACGCAATAAACTTAACAATATCCCAACTTTTAAGGTGTTAAATTTTGTCCCATAGAGTGCAATAAGTTTAATCGAGATGATCTAATAGACTTCAACTTACTATCAAAAACTCCCTGGTTAATTCGACCGCTTGAAGAGTTACTTTGATCAAGCTCTTCTAGTTATATGAAGAAAATCGTTACTATAGTATGATCGACAGCTAATATATAATTGAAAAGTCATTTCTGACCGATACGAAAGTAGTTCTTCTACATTTTGAATAATAGAACTTTCATGTTCTATTTGTATTTTATTGACACTTTTTATTAAAAATTACTAGAGCAATTAACTAATATCATGAATTATTTCTAAGAAACCCTAGCCCTCAAACCGAAAATTCAAAGACCTATTGTCCAACTGCAATAGTATTCGAACTATTTCTTGAAATAATCTTACAATGACTTTCTCTCGCAGTTCTAGAGTAATTATAGTTGGATGCTCACTGCAAAGAATTAATCATGGTTGGTTAAACCTTCTTTCTGTACGAAATTATATCATCAGTTTCGCAATCAGTTCGTGTAATTCCAATTTATTTATTTTATCTTCTAAATTATTTATTATATTAATCCATACATGTAATACATACAGTCGTTTCAATCGAATAGAAATTTTAATAATAATAATAACGGCATTAGTGTTGATTCCCAATTGTTGTAAGACAGAATAATAATATCTCATGATTGATTATGCTTATTGCAAGACTAGCTAGGAAACAAGTTACATATCAAATTCTCAGCTTGGCAACAAATTGTTCACACGTACGCTTAAAAGTAACGATAAACGCCTTAATCTGTTTTGCAATAGAGTACTACAAGTTGAATAATACTGTGAAATAGTTTCATTCTATGAGATTTTGGCTAAAAAAGTAGCACCTACGTGTATGATAAAGATCATAAATTACGAACAAGAAGCGTATAAGTCATGTTTGTTATGATACAATCAAGCAATATCAACAACACGAGTACTATCTATGATCTCATCGTAGCTATATCATTTATAATCAGCCAAAAACATCAGTTAATTTGATATATCATATTTACAATAAGAAACATATCAGCAGAATATATCCATTTTAAAGTTTTCCATAATCACTTACTCACCATGTATTCAGACTTTAAGGAATCGTAAATAACATGAAACTGACATGTAAACTAGTTATAGTTCTATTAAATGGATATAGAAAGTTATAACATATTTATAAATTTTCGACTCATTGTTAAAGTTACAATAGTCAGATCAAGGTTACAATTTCTTTGGTAATTTGTAATGATTAAAGATAAACAAGCGCACGCCAAATTGATCAAGATTTTTAAAAGACTATTAAGCAAATACAAATAAAAATGTATTCTAAAACAAGCTAGCAAATTTGTCATAGATGACGTAGTCATCTATTAGGTTCAGTCTAAAAGAGCTTGCACAGTGATGTACTATACATGCAACTTTAATTTTGATATTTTTCAAAACCAGTATCATTTTAGATTCAAACTGTATTATCAGAATTTGATAAAACAACGAATTAAATTTTAATCATTAGCAGTAAGTCGGTTTTAATTAGAACAGAATAAAAGTACTACAGTAGTATGTTAGGCATTTATGTAACATTAAGAAACCAGTTCTCTAGGTATAAATATTACTTAATTTAAGCGCCATACATTTTTTAATATTTAAGAATTCTTACTAATGTTCTCCTTCGAAATGTTAATATCGAATAAATTTGCAATCATGTAAAAATGCATAATAAAAGAGAAAGCTGCACACAACAGACCGCCATTCACAATCATATACTAAATACCGGTGAAATTTGTTCAGCCTTAGGTTTATCCTGTGGTTTTGCGTCATTTTCAGTAGCGTCAGATGCAGCAGGCTGATCGGATACAGATGCACTCGTGTTAGCTTTGGAAATACTTGTTACAGGCAGATTATTTGCAGTAGCGTTTATAAGATTTGGTGTCAGCAATATAGGGACGTTACCAGACAAAGACGTACTGCTGGAGCTTTCGGCATTAGGATTTGCACGACTCTGCAGTGTGGGTAAAGGAGGTTGCAAAACAACGCAGATGCTGGTATTATTATTTTTATTATGAGTTAAATCCGACATTGATTTCGCTCTTTGTGGTTTACTTGTATCTTCTGTTACTGTAGTTAAACAAACAAAAATAAGATCAGAGATTAAAAAATTCGATTTAATTAATGTCCTAATATTTAACATTATAGTAATAAATAATCCAATTACAAAGTTGTAATTTTAAAACACTATGCGGTACAGGAATTGATTACTATAGTGTGAATCAGCTAACCATTTTCATCAAGTTTTGTAGATTCCTGTTCATCAGTCGATTCAAAGTTAGTCGAATGCGAACGAACAGGTTGGCTAACTGTGTTTCTTGTTTCTAGGTTGGTATGACCAAAAAGCTCCTCTTGCAAATTAGGTAAAAATAAGTTTATCCTTTCCCAAGTCATTGTCCATAACTGTGATCGTTTCGGAGTAGAATCGGATGAAGTTTGCGCTTCACGACTCGATCCATCTTCCTGACCGTTAGGTTCGCTTTGGGTAGTGGGATCAGCTCGTGATACGCCAGGCTTTTCAGATGCTACTTCTTTGTCGCCGTAAGTTTCAGTATCCTCATCAAATATTCTGGCTGTTACCATAACTAGTAACATATTCTTTAGAGATTCTGGGATAGCTTCACTCTACGCATGAAAGGAAATAACTCTATTAACAAAACTGAAAGCCTTATAAATTTGATCTGCGATCATGATTCATGTACAGTGTAAATAACGTACTCAATACTTACAAGTAATCCAGTACTATCTGCATGCATACATTTATCCATAAAGTCGAGGATTGTCAGCCAAAGGGCAGTAAAAGTCGACAAAGTCAGCAATTGTGTTAAATGTTGTAAAAATACCTAAGAATAAAAGTAAGAATAAGATAATTGTGCCGTATGACATTGGCTATGTAAATAAAATAGTTGCACCTTACCTTTGACAATAGAGCAGCTGCCCTCATACGCGTTTCTTCGATATTGACAAATGCAGTAGAAGCATCATTATTAGGAATACCGATCAAACTTGATAACATCGGAAATAGAACCTATACGAGATAATGATGACTTTATTATCCAAACTAAATGCTAAATATCGATAATACTGCTGCAGTAATTTTGTATACAGTTTATCACAGTATAATATACTGTAGTATTTCATTACCTGATTAAAGCAAGCTTCCCATTCCAGTGCTGACAACTTCTGCATATCGTGAACAAGTAGCGATCTCTGCAAGTTTGTCAATGCCGCATTTCTAACATCTTTACGAGTATCTAAACACATCGCCGCCATACCTTGTAGCAGAGGACACCAGCAATTGGTCCACAGAAAATGAGCATTGATCTTAATCGGAGTTTGATTTGCTTTCTTAACTGAAGGTGAAGAACCTTGCTTCAAGTCGTCGGTAGGCAACTGTCCTACTTTTTTCGAAGATTGAGTTTCGCTACTTTCGTTGGACTCATTATCACTCTGATGCGGCAAGCATTCTTCATTCTCTTGCTCTTCGCTAGCTAAATTCGACTTATCACTATTCATAAAGACAGCTGACTCATACACTGAAGAAGCCTTAATATGAAGTGTATGCATTAAATCGAGTAATTGCATTGATACACCATAATAACAATCTTCGATATTAGGTTCGGAATAAGTTGAATCAAATGACGTAGAGTGTTGCTGTATAAGTTCGGAAGATTGCATACGCTTTTTTGCATTACCAGATTCTTTACTACGTTTCGCAGGCTTATATTTCGAGCTTTTAACATTCTTCCTATCATGCGTAGGTTCGAGCCTAGTTAATCCATCGTTGTAGCGGTTTACACTGCCATTGGCGGTTGCTTGTGCTAGAACTCTTAAACCATGCACACATCCAGGAAAATTAGTCGGTGTCAAATGAGCAGAGTCTCTAATTAAAAAGCCTAATGTCTCACAAGATTTAGTTAAGCATCTGGTATCATGTTTATTGATTTCATCACTTAGCGATAAATTGTACTGACTATCAGAACCGTCCTTGTTCACAACAACAAAGAAGTTTCGTCCATGATAAGCATTAGTACTAGCACCGGTATTACTAGTTTCAGCGACAGTAATTTGAGAGCTATTTACAGTGCTAAAGGGCAACGAGAACATTGAAAGATTTTGAGAGATAGAATGAGAAGAACCCCCAAATACACTTGGTTGCGATGTAGACGAGTATTCTGAATCAGCCACCGAATAAGTACTGCCAGTATCAAATTTTTCCGTTTCGAAAGTTTCAAAGGAACCTCCAGAGTTATCAAACGATGGCGAACTTTTAATTTGAGAAGCTGATGGAGGCTTTGCACCGGCCCCAGCTACCTCAAGAAAGGATAACAACGTATTCCAGCAGCTTACTGAAGTAATATTGGTCACATTTGATCTTACCAACTCGCAAATACCAAATGTAATTTGTTTGCATACATATCTTAAGACGCTTGGCTTAATTAATAATAAAATTTGAAGAGACGAAATGGTTTCATTAATCATTTCCTCACGTCGCAAAAGTCTCATACCAAGACGTAACATGCCAACAACAGCACGTTCTGTTAAAAAATTATACTGGCTGGACAAAATTAAGTTTGTTAAATGTTCCCTAACTCCTTTCCATATTGATTGAATACGATCTCTGTTTTGGATAACCACTTTTATTAGCAATTCTAAAAAGAAAACAGCTGCATCTTCATCATAATGAGTGCCTAATGTTTCATGCGCCGCTGCTCCACGAGAACCAAAAGTGAGAGCTTTTATTAGCTCGAGCAAAGAATCAATTCTTAAAAATTTGCTTTCTGTTACAAGAAATTCTGGATGGCACTCTTTAATGCAAGCTTGGGCTCTTTCTTGGGCTTCAATGTCTTCAGGTTTATCGCTACGTCCACTCGAAGTATCAGGGTTTAATAAATACTGATAAAATGATGACAATAGAGAACCATCACTTTTTGTATTAGCCATTTCGTCAGGCATAATAGAAATGGAGCCTGTTGGATCGAGAAAATCTTCAGCATCAACCATAAGAGCCGGAAGTAGGCGAGCGCGATATAACTGCAAAATACAGTTTAATATATTTTCCCAACCTTCGCGTAATATGTCACCAAATCGATGCGATAACGAAAAAACAGTACGAGCCGCCAATTGTGCTTTGTAATTAGAGCCAAACATAATCGCTATACTATCGACTTTCTCAGGCGTATGCATAAGCAATGTCGACTTGCATAGTGATATGACAAGGCTATCAAATACCTTTGTTAAACCGTAAAATGAAGATATTAAAGCACATCGCCTAAAGCCATTAACAGCCTTTTGAACTATCATTTCATCTGATGCATTGTCAAAAATATAAGACAAGGCTGCTACCGTAGGACCCCAAATTAAAAGAAATAAGTCTTGATCGTAACGTCCATCAGTGACAAATTTATACACTCCTTCCTTAGACGCGCCTCTATGAAGCAGCATCTTCCAGTTATAGTCGTCACGAACCTGTCCCACTTGTTCTGAAGGCATAACGATTTCTTCGTTCTTTATAGATATAAAAATTTCTTCTAACATATCCTCAGGAAAATCAGCGTTGTTGTTAACACCACGTAAATTACGCTTAAAATCTTCAACAGTCATAGCTGCTTGTTTCTTCAAGTTTTCGTTATGCTGGTCGACATTTAACATTATAATAGCATACGCAAGTGTGAAAGCGGCATCTTTGTTGCCAAATGGCTCACCCGCACAAACATACCAATGATTAGTAAAAGTTTCCAATATTCTAGTTATAACGGGGCTTTCTCCAGGCAATCGAAAAGTTTCTAGAAATGCTCGTAATGCATCCTGAATCAAGGTATTTTCATACGAAAAAGATTTGACAAAAGCATCTAGGATGACTTGATTTTTTCTATCTCCAATATAATCGCCAATCATCTTCTTGCTCAAATGACGATTCTCTCGTAAAACGGTTGCTACTTCAGTAGATTGCAAAGGAGAACTAATTAATCCATGTTCTTGCATGAATTTTAACCCATTCTTTGGCTTTACATTAAACTGTTCAGTAGCCGCTTGCATTAACTAACAGAAAAAATTAGCATTAATAATACGTTAAGCCTATTACGGTAATGACTAAAATTACCTGGTAATAAATACAAAGTGGAGTAACTCAGTACGAACCTTTTTCCTCTGCTTTATTTGGATAAGCTCTTTTGGCAATGGTAAGTCGTAACAACTTGCATTAAGCATACTACTATCTTGACTTGCGACATTACCTTTTACTGATTCATTCGCATCACCCTTTTCTATGGCTGACTTCTGTGCTACAACTACACCTACAAATAATTGATACAACCGCAAACATTATTACTTATCAAGGATGTAAATTCGCGTTACTTAAATGAATTCACGTCAAATCAATTGAACACCTGTCTCATTAATTGTGTTACAATGATTTTCAACAATATTTATCACAGATAGCAATGCTTCTAAGGCCAGAATGTGTACTAGGTATGAACCAGCAGTAGGATAAACATGCTACAAATTTCGAAAATAACGAAAGATATATCAATACCAAAAACTATAATCTGCAATACCAATGCATAAATACTTAAACCATTGATAAGACAGGTAAAAATGAATTACCTTGGATAACAATTTTATTAACTCTTCAAATAAATTACTGCTGTAAGTTTCACAGTCGAAATTGATATATAATTCAGCAACTAAGTTTGGCAGTCTGCAAAGCTGAAAAGATGTGAATATATTACAAAAGATATTTATAATGGCTTAAAAGAGAATTTTACAGAATACACCTACCTGTACAATACTTTCAAGGGCTAACTCTTTCACTTCATATGTGTAACGTCCGGCGTCAGTAGAGATTAAGTCCATAAGTTTCAATACAAAAGCCTACCAAGTAAGAATTATAAAAGTACAAATAACATCTTGCATTATAGGGCTTACTAGCATGATTAGGCTACATTGAGCAGCTAGAATCAATCATCTACACATGTATTAATTTCGATGTTTCCGAATTGACATACCTCGAGTTGAAATTTTAAGTGGCCACGCATAGATTCAAATAGAAAGAAACATACCCGCAAAGACGACGCGAATAAAGATAAATTTTCTCTTTGTAAGAGCTAAAAAAATCACATTTTATGTTAAAACATAATAAGATAGATCACAAGCTGCCATTTGTAGAAATTTAAACTTATTCATCAATCCTAACAAGAAATAAGGACCGGCACAATTCGTCTTTAATTAATGCCAACAACGAAGGAGAATTTCCAATGTATGTCGCTCCAGATTCAAGTGCCATCGTTATAAGAGACAAACCCATGTGGATCATTCCTTCTATGTTACGCCTATATTTGTATGAAATTTTATAAAGTCGCGCCAATAATATTTTAGCTATAGAAAATGTAACAGTGCTAAAAAAGTACTATATCGTTGATTATAAATGTTACCTATCACGTGGGTTTATTAAAGAAACTAAAAATCGTAACAATTCGCGCACACAAGGCAATCCATATGGCTCGACTAGATAATTTTTCTCTATCAAAATAAATATTAGCATTTATAATTACAATTTTAGGATTTACATTTAAATTTGTACTTAAATTTGTGCACGCATATATATCACGCACCTCTTTTTATATCATAATTTGAAGCTATATCATTTATTTCCGCTCCCGATTGTATTTGCGGCGATAGCTCAGAATTATCGCTCTGCTCATCAATATCACGTTTACTCATCATTTCGCTATCATCCTGAATATCTTGTTCCATTTCAGATGTCATACTGATAGTATCGCACTCGCTACTTCGATCAGAAACTTTTAATGAATCTACTTCAGGAGAGTTTGTTTCACATTCGTTTGCTATCCTTTTATCCGTTGATTGAACTTCATCCACCTATTGGATAATAGGAATTTTATATCAATAAGTAGCTAAAGAGTAAAATGAAATATTTATGCTTACATAAGCTATGGTTTATGTGTACACTGTACATCCAAAGATCAGTTACTTTTCTAATACCTACCCCATACTATGCATGTAGTATCGCAGCTAACTTACATTTTTTTGATTTTCTATATTGCCAGTCACAGTAACTTTTACTGGCTCCTGTTGATTTAAACTTTGCTTATCTGCATTAACATTTGTCGGACTATGAGACGAAACATTATTGGCCAAGACATTAGATGGGGATATTTTAGATTTGCGACTGCCACCTATCATTTTCCTTTCTCGGCGCCCTAGCAATAATAATATTGAATAGTTGTATCGATCACATATTCCACTACTAATGATGTAATATTCATAATGCTTTATTATACCGAATTGCAAATGGAGACACAAATTGTCATAGCAGAGAAATTTTATAACTTACCTCTTCCATGAGATCCATCATTTACGGTCCTTTTTAACGACTGCAATATCAAAACGCTACATTTAGGCAACTGACTAAATATGACTTTTATGCAACAGAGAATAAAGAATTAATGTTGATATTACGCTAACCTTTTTTATTGCTAATGCACTACCACCTTGTGTTTCTTTCAATTGTGGTAATCTGTGAATGGCAGAACGTTCAATACATTTCGAAGGATAGTCAATTAACTACGCAAGTATCAAAATATATAAACATTTACTAAAGACAATACAAACCTTGAAAATAAAACTTGAGTCATATCCATGAGTGCATGTTCAGCAGTTCTTCGTAACAGTTCTTATGATAAGCAATCAAGAAAGATTTCATGAAAATTATATTTGATTACGGTTATTTAAAATTAAATGGCACGTTATTAATTAGTGATCCATTTTAGAGAACAGTCCTACTTACCACTAAGTCGTACTTCAAAACATATTCTAAAGCAAGACTGCATAATATCACAGACTGATTCATTACTCATGAGATTGCCTACTGAACTCGAAAGTAGAGTTCTTAAGACCTGATAGGAAGTAATCAGAAAATTAATAAGTAATATTCATGATAGCAAAGTCTGATTACTTCGGTGTAGCTAAGACCATGCAATAAACCATACTTGTAAAATTTTCATTAATACAACTTCATCACTGCCAGGATCAGTTCCAACAAATCTTGCGTGTGTTACGGCATCAGCAATATTTTCAACAGCAGAAGCAGCTGAGGTAGTAGATAAACTAACCAGTTCATAAGATAATATTTTATTAATGGAAGAGAGGGCTAAACCAGTAATTGGTCCAGTTGTATCCTCCGATCGAATTACATCCAAGAAGGGATTCAGAAAAGTATTTGCATCAACGTGCGACAGTTCTAGTATGATTATAAATAGTCAAGCGTTAACAGAAAATTACATAAAAATACCTGTTTGGTAACTACTTTATTAGGACATTCCTAAAGACGCATACATATGCCCTTACCGGATACGGTCATCAACAATTGTTTTAATCGTGTAAAATTGGTCATGATTGGATCGTGATCTTCGTCCTAAAAAAAGCCGATAGTACGGACAACGTTTATTAATAAATAATATATATACAACATTCTGATGTGCTGGACTTCTAACTTAGAACTTGATTGTACATATAACCTTAGGTATTACGAAAAAAGATTTTCTCTACAATTTAAATAATATGCAATATTAAATAAATAAATGCGCAGAAGCTCAACAGTTACGGCATTAAACAAATCCAAAAGTAATAAAAGAAAGTATTAATTTTAGCTCAGTTCAAGTTCTAAAGCCAGTCGATCCGACATCTATTTACAGTACTGTACAATATATAGTACTATAAGTTATATACTTTTTTAGGTCAGCAAAATAGAAATTACATCATGTCCATAAAAATTACCTGATGTGAATGACTAGACATCTTTGCACTCCTACGTATTGCAAAAGTGATGAGGGACATCTCTCCCAGAACGATGTAAACGCCATTACGTGGAGTAGGCATGTCGATGGATGAATCTAGAGGCGTTTAGTAAAATAACAAAAAATAAATAGATAGATTTAATCTGAGGATAGATTCCAAACAATGTAGTGACATATCAATCAGTTAGTTTGACTAGCAATAATAATTATAGTCTCGGGTATAACACGCTCTCTACTACGAGGCTCCAGTTGTTCAATAATGAATGTTGCACTCATTTTGCAACAATTATACCTAGGTCGTATATAGTCGTAACGTAACCATTAACACTATGCCAAGTAGTAAATTTTGTGTACAGGAAATTGTGATAAGATTACACCATATATAGCATTCAGTATACCATTTACATCAAATTAAAAGGCAATGGCATTTTGGTCAGCAAAGTAAAAAAAAATAAATTGGTAGTCCATGGTAGTTGTCAGTCATCGGAAATACAATACAAGGTGTAGCACTTTCTAATCGATTACTACCCCCTGCCAAGAATGATAATTTTCATCTACGCAAGGAGCAGTTTATCAGTTTGTCCAAAATAAAGGAGTGATCAAACTAATCAGATACTGTACAGTAATTTTCACCAGAATTATGGACAACACATTTCTGAACGTAGACTAGTACGAAAGTAAATAATCATAGTACAGTAGATCAATCTCAAATATTGCTACCATCAATTTGTACTAAAAAACTCCATATGCTTGAATAACACCCATTTCAATGCTACTAGTAATTGTGTATACTGTACGAGTATGATTACCTTATTGTTTTCTAAATTTATTTACCAGTACATTAGCATTTTCCATAAAAATATATTACAATTTTGAAAATAAAGTTTGAAGTCATGCAAAATTTTACCCAAAAAAGTGGCATAATTATTTAAAAATTGATTTTCGAACTGATTTAATCAAGATATGGTATGTCATTTCTCATACTATACGTTTTATACAATTACCAATGGTGTATGAAATATCATTCATTATAATTCACTGTGGTACAAATAGGGCAATCTATCAAACTCTATGTTGCCTAATTTTGTACCACAGTGAATTAATTAATCAGCTACGGATCGAAAGCAAATTATAGTCTAATGCTGGGTATGATAGGGAGATAACTATCACAGGTGTACAGTATAGCATACTGTATTTCTTTACCTAGTAATACACGTTTCGAATATCGTTTTTGCTATTGATATCATTGATATTTTAAGAGCCTACAATTCATTCAGTAATAAGGAAGATCATAATGATCTACCAAATACAAAGTTGAACTCTTATAAAAGTTGTACTACAGGATTGGTAGTCTTCTTCTTCATTTCATTCCTCAAGTTTACGGAAATGACGAAAACTTGCGATCACGAAAATCAACTACAATACTATATTCACAATATACTACAGTATGTCCAGGATTGGCAGCTATCGAGCTGCATGTTATGATTAGTTACACATGGAATAATGTAGTTATAGCTATTAAAGTTGGAAATGTCAAATAACTTTACTTAACACTTAATTCTATCCTATTTATTGATCAATCAACTACACTAAAATGGTGCTTCCTACAACTAACCGTCATAAATTAATTAATTGATTATTCAACAACAATAACACGCTTACCATTGTTGAATTTTAATGTAGACAAGTTAGCTTAATTTGTGATCGCAAGGTAAGATACAAACTGCATATTTGTATCATCCTAAATTAATTTAATCGACAATACTAAAATACCATACTATAACTGGAGAGTAGAAACTATACGCGCAATATGAATAGCCCATTAAAACACTGGCACAGCGAATGAAATAGGTCGTCCATAACTCAAATCGATCATCGCCTGAACAATTTTCTCCCGTATCCCTACAGTCCGCTTAGTTTGGTATAATTCCTCAGTTTACGATCGAATATTACTTCAGATTACTTTATAGATCTGTTAAGTGATTGACATCCACTACTAGTCTCACAGCTTGCGATTCCATTGTGCAGTTTATGAAATCATATCGCAAAATTAGCGTGCGTATTCAGTGTTGTATTAAGATCCTTTCGAATATTGAAGAATCCATCGTTTAAGAAGATAGATATCCAGTCACTTCCTATCATCATCCGTAAAGTGTTGCTACGTATCCAATTAGACTTGTAAAACTTGCACTGGACAGTATATTACATGTGTAGAACTCGAACATCATTTTACAAGGAATCGGGAAAATGTTGTTTACTCGTACTCTAGTAGAATTCAATCCAGAAAGAAGAAGAAATAAAGTCGAGAGGTCATAACATACTGCTGCAACAGTAGAATCGGTTCAATTCATTAATTCATTTTACTTTGCAAGCAAGCAAGAACATATGTAAAAATGATGGCAAATCAGCTACAGTCGAATTGGCAATAGCCACTATCAGGGCAAGTCCAAATTGGACGGTAGTACAATACAGTATACTGTACTGTACTGTACACTCGACGCACAGTACTGTTATACTGTAGTATTGTTCTGGTAATTTCACACCAATTGATCCACTGTACACTGTACACTGTACAGTACTGTCTATGAAAGAGTATGATATTCAGTATGACAGTATGCTATTCCATACAGTGCTGAATAGCAGTGTATTTAGTATGGCTCTAAAGCGAGAAAGAAGGTTAGAAGAGGATCCCACTTCTAGCAATGGATGTTCTCCTCCTTTGTGTGCTCATTGCTCATCCACTCAGTCCAAGTTGAAATAAGTAACGACGAAAGACTTCTTTTTCTAACAGTTCATGAGATAATTACTACATCATGTTGTCTCAGTAAAGCTAAATAGAAGCGAACTACTGTTCCACAGTATCCAAGTCAAAAAAAGATTTCTTCATTGTATCAAATGTGCACAATACAGTCTAGTAGTCAAGTATTGCAGAATTGATAGTAGGCTAGAAAATTGGTCTCGAACGAGGTTGAAGTTTGCGTGTAGACGAGTCATCATGTCTGTTGGTTAGACCATTTTAGTTCATTCAATGAATTCAATGATATAAGTAAGAGCGATACAGTGAATTCAAGCATTGATGTCTAGCTTGATTGAAGTGTATTACGTTGGTAAGAGTTTGAGAATGAAATGTTGTAGTAATCCCCATTCAAATTAGTTATGTAATGGAAGTGCTATTGGAACGTTGGAATGGTGTACACGTATCGTGAAGAGTTGGGTAGAACAAAAACCGAACTGAACATTATTGAATTCAAATTTCTTTTTACCAAGTGGTAAGAGGTAATGTATTAAAAATGCAGAATGTTATTGCCATTTTTGGACGTAATTTACATGATTTAGTTACTCAATCCAATAGATACTTATAATGTCATTGAAGTATAGTAGTAGCACCATTATTGAAGTGGCAGGAATTATTCAAGGTCCACAAGCAATCTCATTTAGGTCCAATGATAGTATACCGCACACCCGTCTAGAGCATTGTATAGAATACTATATAGAATCAGTAGAACATAAATGGTCATTACGTACTGTACCCTATTCAATGAATTCCAAGTCCCCTGACAGTAAAGACATCTCCCTTTGAATTTACAGTGTAAACCGTGTCTAAAAATAAAGTCAAAGTACGCGTTGATGACTTTTATCAAAGTAAGCTAGTCTTCCATCCTCTACTCAAGAAGAACAACTACCAGAATAGATGGATAAGCAAATCAAAATGTCCTTTAACATGGACGAAAAGTGTCCAGTATTGGCAAGCTGCAAAGAGCAAGCTACTCCCTAAGGATGATCATCGCTATTGGTCTCGACCACAAAAAAGGTAGCAATGCGTTGTCCTGTACCTTATTCTTGACCGATAGAATAGATATACTAATGGCTACGAACATGCAATATAAAGACATGTTACTCTCTTACTGACTTGCAATCTTTTCAATTCAACATTGCAAAGCAGTAATTGTACATTTGTACCCAAGTAAAACAAGCTGTTACCTTACCTTGAAATACCACCAAGTTATGAATTGTAATCAACCACTAAATCAGTACGTATAATGGATAAATTAAGGTTTTCACTAAGATACGCCAAAAGGAATGATGTATGATGCCTATGCTATATACTCCAACGGAAAGTGGGCCATAGGCAATATTGGAACTGCTACCTCAATGTAAAGACGAACAGACCACGATCGCCATCTTTCGCATGATCACAGGCCTAGTGACTCGTAATTCTGTGCATTGGGACACTGTACTGTTCTGGTCTTTACGTGTTTTTGTATGGCATTCTGTGTGATATTGTACAGTGCAGTATGGTACTGTAGAGTAAAGGTAAAAGACTGTACTACAGTACTTACAGTACAGTACTGTACAGTGCGTAGACAAAGTACTGTAGTCGAAGATCAGGCACGTTTCTTCCCCTACAGTTACAGTACTGCACTGTACAGTGTACAGTACGTACAGTACAGTACAGTGAGTGGACACTACAGTACACAGTACAGTACCGTCGAGGTCCAAAAGTCCATGGATCAGGTAATCATGTAAGACTACAAGCGGTACTTCGTCTTGAAACATTAATAGCCAACTCGACCTACCTTGCAGCAAGCGTACGTTACATACTGGTCTACGAAGTTGGAACACTATAATTAAATTTTCCTGTTGAAAATTATTCAACAACTGAAGACTGTCATCCAGTAAGAGAAAAATTTCTGTGTCGACTGGGGCGCCGGTGAACAATACAGTATACAGTACTGTAGAACACTACAGTGTACAGTACTCGTACAGTACAGTATACAGTACTGTACACTGTACTCTACCTGTGTAAATAAACATACAGTACAGTACTGCACTAATGTAGGGAGGGGCAGTCGTGGGCAATGCAATACTGTACTGTACCAGTACGCTGTACTTGTACACTGACAGTACAGTACAACTGCTTTCTGCTGTTACCTACTGTACTGTACACTGTACAATACTCTCTTTCTACCAGTCTCTAGCCACAACTTCACTCCAGCAAAGTTGCTGTTTTAGTAAAAAGATTCACTCGGTTCTAAACTCTTCTATTCATTCATGGACGTACGGATACAGTCTACAGTAGAGGGTCTCTACAGGTGCGAGAAATCCTTTACAGAACAGTCCAGTCTGCAAAAGTTGCTGCAAGACGATCGATTAAAAACAAAATCATGGCCACACCTGATCAAGTGACCAATCTGTCCATTGTCTTCACTGCGATGTGGTAAACATGTCCACTTGTCCAGTGTGTCAATTTGTACACTACATCATATACATCATAATATTTCCCTTAAGCCAGTGAGCCATAAAATGTGCTTCAATGCCCAAAAACAAAATACATGTACTGCTCGATGTCTGTCAATTCCACCCTTTGTCCTACCTTATGCTATAGCATACTGTATATTGTACAAAGATTACTAAACCCTCCTCTCCATCCGAAATGATACTAATAACTTCCATCTCGATTATTGATAATACGTCAGTGATTGATAATATTAATAAGGGACTGGACACAATATTGACTTTGTTCACAAATCATCAGCACTACATTTCAGAGCTTCTCTATACTGTAATCTGTAGTGCAATGTATATAAATAAGGGACTGACAGTATATCCGTACGTATAATGTACATCAATGTTGGGCTATTTTAGCAGCGTTGCTACTGCGTACAACAGTCTTCTCGTGGTCCATGGCTATAGGCATCGAAAACCCTAGTGTAGACAAAACTTTGAGTAATATCCTTATACTGTACCCTATTGCACTGTCGCCTCTTTGTGACAATGGAGTATGGTGTGGTCACTGTGGTGGTGCGTAGGTAAAGGCAGTTGAGGACTTCCACGGCAATAGCAAGTCTCAGAATCATGCAAGACTTGCGCGTGCGCTACTGTAACCATGGCAGCATCAACAAATGATACTCTACAACATAATCACTACTTTGGTGTTGCAAAGTAGGCAATTTACGCTATTTAGATCATCGTTGCACCAGTACAGTGAATTGCGAAAAGAGTAGGCAAAATTATTGGACTGCATCTTGCACTCGAAGATACTGTTGATTTGTCGATAAAATAAACTGAACTCATTACTAGCTTATCTAAGCTTAAGGTAAAGCCTTCAAATATTCAAGTTAAACCCAGGAGCAGTAAGCAATTTGAGTTGTCCTTGACACTATGGTAAGTTGTGCCTGTAAATATATATGCAATGAAATCTATAAAAGTTGAATAGTAATTTAACTTCAAGTCTAAATACTGTGTATTGTATATCAAAATCCATACACTCAATTCAAACTGTGAATGGTTTTGCTGAAATTATTAGCTTCATAACTACTGTAGGCATAGTTTTAACATTCTACTATACAGTGCACAGTAACTGTAAGGAAATAAACTTCTTGACAACACAAATTATGAAGTCAATTAGGATAAGTTTTCAACTTTATTCGGTGTCATTATCGCCAGAATTATAATCATTTATCCACTCTTGCATGCTCAGAGCTAAATTGATATCGTCCTGCGTAGTGAATTATTTTTAATTACCAATGCTTTCTTTCAGCCCGCACATACGGATACAATGACTACTCCTAGTGTAGAAGATAAATTGCGAGCAGCAGCTTATGCTGCTCACGTTCAAGTTCCAGATGTATTCAGGATATACGATCATCTTAGAACTGGCTTTATTACAAGTATACAAAACTTCAGTTAAAATGATTGACTGTCTATAAAAGGTAACTCTCGTTCATAAATTCTCTTTCATAGGATCTCAATTTTTACGCTGCTTGGATCAATCTTTCAAGCTGCAATTGAACAATAAGGATGAATCCTATTTATGGGAACAATACGGATGGCAAAAGCCTGATCAAATCAACTATGCAGAATTGTCCAAGCTTATCAGTTGTAGTAAGTTAATTTAACCAAATGATAATTCGTACGCTGTATAACATAAATAGTCATTCACATGACTACTAGCTGAATAATTACCCTCAGTAATTTTAGCTTTCTAATCATTGTACAATATAATATATCAAATACTTAAAATATGTATGGAGTTGCTTAATTGGTAATAGCATAATATACGATAGATTAAAAAGGTAACTCAAAGGCCGTATTGCTGCATTGGCTACTCTCTACGGGAAAATACCCATATTACAGAGTTTACTGTAATAACTTGATAGATTAGCAATGGACAAATGTACGAGATCTCTACTGACTTTGGCTATGTTTTCAATCTACTAGTGATACAACATTAAATAGTACCGTACGATTAGGCGATTGTTACATTACGTTTCGCAAGCGATATTACTCTACTGTACTACAATACATGCTTATCAATTGATTATGATAGCCATGTATAAACTCTTGCATTGATTCAATTAATATTTTTCAATGATAGGTACTAATAACAAGTCGCTTTATTTCAATACAGATTTTGACCCATCAAAGTTCATATCAAGACCTGAAGAACAGGGTACACAAGAACAAACCGCTAGGTAAACTTAATTAAGTTATGAGTAAGGCTATATAATTAGCATTCTATGTACTCAGGTTTAAATTTATTTCAGATTTGTAAAACAGTTCAACAGGCAAACTTTGAGCGCCAATTCCGAGCGAAAGTGCTTAGAAATATTGCGAAGGTGCAAAAATTTCTGCCAGGTTAGTTATCGCTAACTGATAAAGTTAGTTTTCTTTATCTTCTCTTCTATGTAAATAAAGCTGAAATAAAATAGAAGTATCTAAGGTCAACCATTTATGATGGTATCATTTAATATTCTTTAAACGTTAGGGTCATGGAATTGACGTTAGAAGCTGCTTTCAAGATTTTGATAAGCATCGCGAAGGCCGCGTTAGTGAATATCAATTTTATCGATGTTTTCCTGGACCGTCAAATGTATCTGAAGCTGATTTAAGGCTATTAGCGGCAAGATACTATGATAATAGGACGAGGTCGTATGACTATATCAAATTTCAATCGGAGATCCTAAATCTTGGTAAGCTATCTACTATACTTACAGTGCCGTATAGAATTGAAATATACATCGCCTATATTTTAATATTGGATGCAGTAATTAAATATGATAACTGATAAAAACTTGAACTTGTTATCAACAGATAACGACACAACAAGGAAAACAGAGCAGTACAATAACCAGACCGTAATGGTGGATGAGGTAATTTTAAATAATAAATGCTCACTTTGATTAACTTTAGTAAGTGCTTCAAATTTTACAATTCATGTTATTATTAAATTTCTATAGTCTAAAGGAGAAAGTAACTTTGACATTATCTTTCAAAAAGTCAGGTAAAAATATTTTAATAGGCAAAGAATATCAAAATTTTAAATAAGAATTATACCAAGTGTTACAAGAGCTCATACCCATACATCTGCACATACTAATGTTGTTGTTGTTAGTGTGAATTAAATACAATCATTGCGAACCGTGACATATTTGTTGATGTTGAAATTTTAACATATCACAGAGATATTGTTTACAAGCATGGCATCAGGACAACTGATTTTTTCAAAGACTATGACAAGCATCACAATGGTGTTATTACAGAGAATCAGGTTCGCATTTCTTGACAATTCTTTTATGGCTTTTTATAGTAGACCATTAAACGTTATAATTTAGCACAAGAGAATTTTGTATCATATCCCTGCAAGAAGCTACTAGAATTTTGTAACTTTTATGATAGTGTGTTATAATAATATCACCAGTAATCGTGACTAACATTCGAATATATGAATAATCGTTACTTTAGTTTTTATGTGGTCTTTCCTTGGTTTGCGGGCCCTATTTAACACTAACCCGAGATGAACGTCAAATCCTAGTCGATAATTTTAAGCAAAGTAATCAAAGAGTTCGATACCGTGAATTTTGTTCAAAAATGGAAAATCGTAAGAAATTATGTTAATTGGAATTAATGACAATAAACTTGTTACATTCTTTCAATTATAGTATTCAAGCAACAGTATAGTATGTAATTCTGTCCTTATAAATTTCAACATTACTTTTGATAAAGCTTTTGTTGATCCTGACTTGGAAGTTAAGCCCCTTTCCATCACGTACCAACCACCCAAAGGTGCATTAGCAAGGGTATGTATACAGACTGGATCTGAACGGTTCTATCATTAGCATTTGAGCTTCTTTAAAATCAAGATAAATAAGCATTCGCGATACATGTTATACACATATTACGTACAATAAAATATCTTCTATCTTTCATTAGCCTGCAGTACAGCTGACTGAAAAAGAAGACATGGAACTTCATCGAATTATTTCAGAAATTGGTAATACTGTTCGCAAGCGACGATTATTATTATATCCCTATTTCAAAGACTTTGACAAGGTAATAACTTAGCTTGTTGATATGATAATAAAATAAAAGTTATTAAGATTTGGTAACTACGGAAGTATAAAAATTATCTAGCTAATTGCAAATTAATTCATGATTAATATGCTTTCTCATTTCCGTAAAATAGAAATCAGGATTTAGCCGTTCCATTACAAGAGATCAATTCGCTCGTGCACTGCAGTTTATTTCTATAGCCTTACTGCCACAAGATTTACAGGTATAACATATAAATCATCAAAGTCATTATCTACTGTATCGTAATGCTTGCAAGCGTTCTTGTTTTGAATGAAATCATATTAAGCATTTAAAATAGCATAATTTATAATGATTCCGTTAGATAATTTGTTAATTTTACAGTAGATATTATGTTACAATTATATCAATCCATCCATTTTAATTATGAGCCTTTATATTTTAGCTATTATACAAGCGATTTGAACATCCTAAAGGCAAAGAGATTGACTATACAGCATTTATACAAGCTGTTGATCAAGGTAACATTTCAGAATGATAAAATAAAACATTTTATAATCATTTATTCTGAGATTTGCTGGCATCCTAGAATAGTTTCTTATGTACGTTAGAAGGGAATAAAATAATAACCATTTTATTCTAATTCTAGAATTTATCGCATCAACGCAAGATTCAATGTCATATGAAGAACAAATCAGGTAGAAATCTTGCTAATTGCTTACTTGATCCCTCAAATGATCGGTTTTATGATTATTAATCAATAATAAATTAATGAACTTTAATATGCCCCATATTATATAAACTATATCCCGATGATTATTATTTAATCTCGCTTGCCAATAATACTTTGATGACACTTTGATGATAAATGCCATTTATCTTTTGACAGTTCATCTAAATTTCCGAAAAAAGAACAACCAAAAGCCGTCCAGACGCTTACCGCAAAATCACAGACATCAAGCCTTGACGATCTAATTGCTCGAATTAAGCATATCCTGCTAACCAATCGAATCAGGGTAAGAGACTTTCTATAATGGAACCATTGTTACTTTTAACGATAGTAGCATTGGCTACAGTAGAAAGTAAAGACCGCTATCTTGGTTAATAATTTTGACATAGTATGTTTGAGAATACTGCAAATCATAGGCTGGATATACAGCACCATCAAGTTAAAATTAGCAAAAATAATCCGTATTTGAAATTGCATTCGTTATAGGCATTCGAAAGTTTTACCGATTTTGATACATTGCGTTGTGGTTCTATTACTGAGAATCGTTTCAGAATGGGATTATCTAACATGGGTTTTAGCTCTATGGGCAAATATAATTTGGCAGAAAGTGAATTTAAATCTCTCTGCAAACACTATGCCGATCCAAATCGTCAACAACATGTTTTATGGAGATGTTTTATGGATGACGTTGACCAAGGTGAAATATTAGTTGTATTATTAATCACATAAATATCGTAATAGTAAATTGCTACATTGATAATGGCTACTACTAACGAAATGATTATATAAAATTAAGCTAAGTTATTAGTTAATCATATGATCTCATGGAAATTAATTTAATGCCTTTATCATTACAGTATTTACCGGCAAAGAACTTGAAAAAACGCCTAGCACAGTTGTCGCTCCATCTGAAACAGCTTTACTTCCTAGGCTTGGTGCAACCAATTGGAACAATGTGGAAGATAGAAGAAAAGAGCGTTTGAATGCAATACTTCATCGCATGAAGAAGAATATCGAGCAGCGACGAGTTTTAGCGACTCCATTCTTTCGTGATTTTGACAAGTAATAAGGGCATACCAGTTTGAATATAGTAGTAGACACAATCACTTAATTAGTAGTTTACCTTCATGTAGCAGTCAAAACCATCGACCTATTTAATGACGTCTATTGCCTTTCATTCAGGCATAATCATGGCCATGTTACATCATTTCAATTCCGTCAATGCCTAACCTATATGGGATTGCATACCTCTGATGAAGAATTACAGGTGAATTATATAATCAGCATTCTAATATACCGTAAATAATTTTTGGCGCAATTCGATAATAGCTCTTTACAGCAACTTTTTCATTTCGTGTTTAGAACTAACTTAGATTAAATCAATTAAATTACTTTGCATAAATAGACTTTTATTTACTGGAAACATTATCATATAAAATATACATATACATATGAATAAAAATGAATAAAATTCTATTCTTATTTAACTATAGATTATCGAGGAAAAATTCGCTGATAGTGAGGGATTTAACTATGTTGAATTTCTTCAAGTTGTGCAAGTACGTATAATATATTTCAACTAAATAGTACGTAGTTTTGCTAAAGGATTGTAAAAATTACTTTTATTTAGCCTGAAAAACGTGATCAACCAACATATGCTACCCGTCTTAATGCACGTAATATCGATCAGGTAACTTTTTTCTCGTTATATTTATATTTAAACAATTTCTATATAAGCTTTTCTACAACCTGATACCTTTCGGTGTTCAATACAATTACTAACATTATCCTTTCACACTAGTTTTCAACTAATCCTTCGGATGGCTTCACATCACATTCAACGGAAGTACGGCAACTTATCGATAGCTTGAAATCTAAGGTAATATCGTTAACTCTTATTTAATCAAATGGCTATCTTGTAATCTGTGATCGAGAATAAATGGATGAAAGGATATTGATTGAGTTTTGCTTGTGTTAATATCGAAATTAATCGAAGGTGATGAAAGAGCGTATTCGTGTATCGGAATTTATGCGCGATTACGATCGCTTGCGAAGTGGTAGATTACAACGAGCAACCTTTAGGAGGGCCTTAGATTTATGCCGATTTGGTTTGAATATCGATCAATATAATCTGATTGAAAATACCTTTCTATCTACTCAACAAGAGGGCTATGTCGATTATGTCCGATTTTGTGATGAAATTGAATCAGCAATTACGGTTAAAGGTATCAATACTAGGAACATTCGATTGCTTCAAATAAGAGTTAATGCATAGATTGAAATACGATAGTTGAAACTAACATTTCTAAGCATTACTTGATATTAAGATATCTGTTAATTATGTAATAATCAGGACTGGAAAAAGATCCGTTAGCTGAAGTAAGCCAATTTTCTGTTAGTCGCGATGTTATACACAACGAATTGACAAGGGAGGAGCAACAATTATTGCAATCTGTAATGACCAAATTAGCGGAAAGAGTAAGTAATTATTTAGTATACTTCATTTTATACTATTAAATCAATTAATATGCCGATGATGTTGATGGAGAAATATTTTAATGACCTAACATCGCTATTTAATAGGTACGCCAACGACGAATTCAGCTATTCCCCATGTTTGAGGATTACGATCGTGTTCGTAATGGGAATGTCTCTAAATCTCAGGTAGGTTATTGAGAATGATTGGCTATATTAAGGTCCCTTGAATAAAAGCAAGGTAAAGAACTGTAACTAATAAAATTTCTAATAGTTATTTATTTTTCATATTTGATATCTAGTTCCGTCGTGTTTTGAGCATGTTGGCTCTTGACGGCGCTGTCAGTGAGCACGAATTTGCAGTTCTCGCTAAAAAATTTATCCATTCTGTTGGTGGCCGTAGCGATATTGATTATGTTACCTTTAGCGATTGCATCTATGACATGTGTGGATTTGAATGGCGCAAGCCTTAAAGGAATTAATAATGAATTTATCCTAAATCTATGTCGTTACTATACCGATATTATTGTTAGTTCATTACTGTCTTTGTAAACTGATTACGTTCAACATTTTCTGACGATGAACACAAACCTTGGTATCCTCTATCATTTAAATCATACTAAACTATCTCTCTCTTTATATCTATAAATATATATATATTTCTCTCTCTCTATATATATATATATAAATATATATATACATTTAATACATAGTGCAATTATAATCGAGTAATAATTAACAATATAGGAATTCTCTCCATCGTAACCGTATATGAATGTCAGGTTGTGACGAAGTCCATACAGTACTCTTTTATAGTTAGATCTTAGGACATACAATTTCATAAGAATTCGTACGAAAATAATAATGGTAGCTATATTGATGAGTAAAGTTATAATTTATTGGTAGATTGTTCATTAATTAATACTACCGTATAGTGCCAGATTAGTTGCAAGGACCAATAGAGGGGTATATAAATATTCCTCTATTGCTACATCGTGCAATTAATCACAAGACAGCTGTACTTAATGATATTGGTTAATAATGTAATCTCCTCGATGAGTCGATACTTCGTGTATATTTTGATATCTTTTAGTGTAAGCATAACAATTCATAGCTTAATATACTACCGTGATACAAATCATAAAAGGTATACTGGTAATAAAATAATAAACTTCTCAAAGTTTTAATTTTCTATGTGAATAAATGCGCTGACTTTTACAGAAAGAAATAATTATCAGCATATCTTGCATTGCTATAATGTAAACGAAAGCGTTCAGAAATAATTCTATCAATCATCGTGCGACAATATGCGTCTGTGATAAGTCTAATTTGGTATAAATCAAGTAAAGAAATTTAAATAAGTATGTATAATTAATGTACTACATTCAGTTAAAGGTTATAATCTATTCGTAGTCAAGCAATTCAAGAAAAAAATCGATAACACCACATTGCCTGTAATGTATAATGAATATATACAACAAAGAAACAGCTAGGCAGTTTCATAACAAAATCCGATTAAATAGTCATAGTGATTTTAATAAGAAAACTAACAGTGAAATTTTCGTATCGGTATTATATGTTGCAAGATAATCACTTAAAGGCATAATCATAAATATCTATTCGTTCTTCTTCATGGTATCTTCTTCACGTTCAGCACAATGTCTTGGAAACCAGCCTCTAACCCTTATTTCTCGGCCTTCAGCTGCGTTGTATATCAATATATAAAAATTTTGTAGATTAAGTAAATAATCCCGTTACAGAGAAAATATGTTTCAATTTTAATCCTTCTAGCAAAGTATTACATTAACTTTTGATCATAACTTACCATCAGTACTTTTATCTAGCACTTTATTTCCATAAAGCCATCGCCTATATCATAAATAAGTGTATTTGCAAAATTGAGTAATCTGTAAATACAATTGCACATACAAGTGATAATATGCGGCAAGTCATACGTCCAGCGAAAGCATACTTGTAGCTAATCGTAAATTTACGTTAATTGCAAGAAAAGCTTACTTTGTGGCCCTCGTGATCATAATTTTATCACCAACACTTATAGAAATTCTTGGATCATCATTTATAGGTAATGAACAACATACTCGAATTCCGTGCCTCCAGGCAATGAAACTGCCATTGTACTTTCTTACAGCAACGTACGATACCTAATATTAAATTGCAATGCATTCTGTAAGCAAAACCTTAATAGTACCGTACTTCTGCAATGGACGTCATGGTCAGTAACTATATAGTATTTTATTTCAATATTTCAGAAATGTTATCTCTAATTAATACCGTTCTGTCTCTCTTTTCGAGCTTCTGTTCAAGTTGCTCTATCTGATTTATGGAAAAATAATTTGATTAAGGTAGTTATCATAACTGTTGATTTATTTACGCGTATTTTAGTAAATTTTACTACTAACGGTCATCGTATATTGATTACAGCCTTCTCTGACAGTCCAAACTATTCCATCGCCTTTAGGCTCACTGCATCCATTACATACCTAATAGTACACAGCGTATATATAGTCACTAAAACATCATCATTATGCCATTTGTCCAATTTATTTGTTAAATTTAAATAGTAGTTGTAAGAATAAAGTAAGGCAGGTTGTAATTTTAAACCTCTAAGATGTTCCTCCAGTATCCTAAGTGATACGGATATAACCATTTTTCATCTTTACTTCTCCGATAATTAGCCTAGGGCAAAGATAGAAAGTGTAATTCATTATATCAGTTTTAAGCACATTTACGCATTGCGGAAGGAGTTAGAAAGCAATTACAGAATATCAACCACTGATTGGATCACATCTATGTTACCTTATCTCTAATCCAATTTTCCACTCCAGTTTCATTTCTGATTATAGATTTAAGCTGTATATAAAGTAGCATTCCTACTGCTAAAATAACTCCAATGGACAAACCGACTGTGACCATAGCAAAGATTACTCCAAATACATTAAAATAGTCATCGTTGTTGATATAATAGGCTACACCTCCCTAAAATACAATTAAATACCAACGTGTTGATGAAGAATACATATTATTCTCTTTAAAGCAAGTATTACGACATCACCTTTGGTACACTAGCATATATATGCAGTACTGTATTGAGTTAGTTACGAGTTAGGACATAAAAAGATTAACTATCTGGACTACAATTTGAAAGAAATTGTCTTGTACAATATCAACTAAAATTGTATGATTACTGTATTAGTATGCCACAATAATGATGTAAATGGTATCTATGTGTACGAGTACATTATGCAACAGATACAATAGCAATCATTGTGAGTGATAATGTGCGCAACGAGCAAAATCCTGAATTGTAATTATTCTACAACGAGAATTGCAGTCATTCTTCTTTTCTAAGTAGTTTAACATTTATATATAGATATGGGTATGCGGGGTACTTAAGATTTACCGTTCTGATAAAATGGATAAAGTATGCAATCAAGATAAAAGTTGACTGTATACAACCGCATGGTGCAAAGAAGAGAAAGAGGGTAAAATTTTTGTGATTAAAATGGCCAACGCAACCGTTAATCCAGGGACAATGATGATCCATTTTCATAACGCACCTAGCGGAAGATAATGATTTTTGTCGCTTATAATAATGGATTATGTCGTTTATGCTATATTCTATGCAAGTAATGTTTATAACTAATATTTATGATTAGTATCCTAATTTCAATCTATTGACGGCGATCAAAATGCTATTTACAATCTTACCGATTACATCTTCGGCAGTGATGGGATCGTGGTACTTTGAAGGAAAGACAAATTTTGCAATATTGCAAAAATTTCTCATTTGATTTTTTCCGCTGTCAACATCACAAAAATGACAGTTAGTACAGGCGTAAGTAGAGTATCTATTCATGTAGCAATAAAGGTAACAATCGAGCTTATTTATAAGTTATCATCAAAATTTAACAGTCATATTTGCAATCGAGCGTAAACTTTATAATCGTTTTCGGTTAATAATTATAATTAACTATACGAATATAATGCTAGTCAAAATATTAAATTGAAGTTAAAAATCTTGCCGGCTGGTTTGATTCATTTATGGCTGACATAGTGCCATGATATGCGAGTAAGCATTCTTATGAAAACATCTCAGTTCGACGATGACAAAAGTAATTTAGAGTAAAGTGGATTAAGTCAACATTACATCATTACAAGCTTGTGGTTAGGAAGCACTTAGTTCTCTAATAACAAATGATTACAATTAGCTGCGAAAGCTTGTTGTTGATATTGCATTTAAATATTAGATTCCATATTAACTAAATTTTTCATATCATGCATCTATTGCGACGATTCTACTCTGAGTAGATATAGTTGAAGTCAATATCCTAGAGGTGCTAGTCAAACAGTAATTAATTATTAATTCACTTCCCTATAAAGGAGCCTTTTTCTGAGTAATGATAAGTACGTTGATGCTAACCAGATTTACTACAGCTTGTTCTTGTCACTTATTTGTTGTGTTGTGTTACGTTTATTTATTTTTTATTAACCATACGCTGATACGCGTCGAAAAGAGAACACATGCATTACGAGTATGAATTGAGCAGCTGACGATGTGCTCATCCTATCAATATCCATTATAGCCACTAGCATCGTTAAAATGGCAGCTCAAGTGAAATCCAGTTTAATTTCAAGTGTATGGTGAAAATGATGATCATCTAGAAGACATTGACCACAGGCAAGAAGCGTATGAATGACTGATATGCACAATTGCACCTACGCCTGCAGTCGTATTAGAGCAATTGGATGCTATGGCGAATACATGACAACCCCATCAGCTACTACTAAAAGCCATTCGTTCTACAATAGGATTAGCAGATGTTATTTTAGAGTACTCTGATTCTCATTAATCCATGTTGATGACTTCAAGACTGGTGTATTCCTATAGCATGACATCAGCTATGGTAATTTGATAGACAATAAGGTGAGGACGCCATTACGACATGCATAAAATAGGCATGACATCATCTACTTTCTTACCGGTCGCCAACCTTCTGGTACATAGCCAGGGCCCAAATGAATCGCTCGAAAGAAATTATAAAATGTTGCTACAACCCATGATAGAAATAGCGTTAAATTAATAATTCCACCTTGGGTATGAATGGGCCACCATAATAAACTGCAATAGATCGTAGAACTGGTAATAGCCAAGATCACCGAAATCGCAATTAACGGTCCCCAATGGCAAACAGTACGCCAGTTGTTCATTTGGATAGGCCAATTTTCGAAGAGAGTCCACGCTTGATCGCTGTGTTTCTAATCTTAGCGCAAATGATCGACTGCACGCATATGGTGGATGAATGATCAAGTTGTCTGTAAGTAAATCTGTTTTCAACCTGTGCTGACTGCAAAGGAACCTGCAATAGATGCAAACTTGCCACTTGGCCTGCAGCTGTGGAGCACAAAGCCGCAGATTCCATTCTTCACCATTTTACTATACTGTAGTATGAATGACTAATTCCAGTCCATAGCCAGTTTCTTACAGTGCACAGTACTGTAGTTGGCCGTGACTCGAGCCTGCATTTTCTATGGCCTGGCTAGAACTGGATTGTACCGCTACAGTGCAGTCCAGTACTGTACACTGTACCGTACTGGAGTTGTGATAGTCAAGACCTGGACTGGAAACTCTCCTCGGATGGACAGATTTTTCAGATGGGACAAAATGGCGCAAAATAGTTACTTAATTTGGATCTTCTGTGTCTCTATTCTAAGTCACTCTTAGTAATTGATCCTTATTTAGGATTAAGTGCGTTAGTCTAATCCATGTCATTCAACATTTATAATTTTATAGAACTACTTTAAAGCAAAACTGGTTCAGGATAATACTATAGTCCTGATAGTGAAGAAGACCTGGAATGCAAACTTTCCTTTAGGTGGACGGATTTTTAAAGATATGGCAAAATGTCCAAAAATAGTTACTTACCGCTTAAAATTACGCTTATTGCTGAATCCAGCATCTACATATTGAAGTAATAATGAATGCATGCGTTTGAAACAGTATTTTGATGATATGTGTCTGAAATGTCTGTCCAAACCAGTACTGTACACAGTGTCCAGTGTGATAGCAATTTCCTTTTCTAGTAGTCTTCTACTGTGAAAATTAGTTTATTGAATTAATTAATTAGATGGCAAAATCAGAAATAATTTTGTTTATCATATACATTAAATTAAGCCTAAACTGGGTGCAATGTCGGTGTAGATGTTTTACGAGGCAATTTCGATAAATTCTATTCTTATACTGTATTTTCACCACAATCTTGCCATCGAAAAGAATCCAAATAATCCCTCTGTACATTACCATAGACTAATAAACCAGCATACTTAATCGAAGGGCCTGCCATGGATTACTCAATTACTCCTAGTAGTCCATGACAGTAACTTATTTTCCCCCTTGTACCATACTCTACTGACCAGTATCAGATTAGAATGTAGTATTGTATTCCTTGCCAGCTACACTGGTGTTCTTTACTGTATCCGCTACAATGCTATCTAGTTCAGCTTATTTACTACTGTACGGATTGATTGATTTTTGCTCTCTACATAAAAGTGATAAAACTAGTGATTCGCTTCTTAGTAAATAGATATATATCCTATCAAATAACACAGTATCTCATCTATCTATCGATAAGTGCTGTAGATATGAACAGATACATTTAGTGGAGTGTATTTTAAAATAGAGCAGGAGGAGGGGCAAAAGGATTAAGTCGTTCCGACATTATTCTCTTGCTATAAATAATCATCATAGTAAATAGATAGATATCCTATCAAATAACCCAGTATCTCATCTATCTATCCATAAGTAGATATTAACAGATAAATTTAGTGGAGTGTATTTAAATAGAACAGGAGGAGGGGCAAATTGCTTAAGTCGTTCCGACGTTATTCTCTTGCTATAAATAATCATCATAGTAAATCGATATACATCCTATCAAATAACTCAGTATGCCATCTATCGATCTATAAGTAGATATTAACAGATAAATTTAGTAGAGTGTATTTTAAAATAGAACAGGAGGAGGGGCAAATTGCTTAAGTTATTCCGACGTTATTCTCTTGCTATAAATAATCATCACATTCAAATTGTATTGTTCAAGTGATAGATATGTTCTAACATGATCTAGAATCAATAAGACTACGCCATGACAAGTTCTTATCCTGTAGACTGTATATATACACAGTAGGGACTGTTCCCGATGCTTTGAGTCGAAACCCTACGGCTTCTATCAGCTGTCATCACGTCATAAACAGAAATAATCAATAAGACTGTTAATAGAGCAATATTGAAACATTATAAGACGTGCAGCTAACAGCTCCTATAGTAGTTGAGTGAAGTAAAACAGACCAACGAAATTGCAACATGTCATCAGCCAAAAGGAAAGCTCCAACAAATAATGTTAATGCCGAATTTTGCGATTTCTTAATAGGTAATACTAACTTACACGAAATAGGATACATGACCAAGGAGTATGAGACTATACGTCCTATACTCGTAGTTTTAAAGTTGAGTAAAGACTACGGTAAAAGTAATTGACGTTAAGGTAGGAAATGTATTGGATAAATGAATGATACACGTATAAATATCATCCGGTATCGAATTGCCAATCGATTGCTATTACTGTATGGATTAAAGTAAAGGAATGAAAATGGCTATACGCCTATCGATATGTTTAGTGTACATCGATCAAGGAAAAAGGGCTATTAGATTTGTAATGTTAGCTTGAAAAAGGGACTCCATTCTCAAGTTATGTTATGGTGCAGTACAGTAAATAGGAAACGCACATGGATCGGTAGAATAATCGTTGTTGATTTATGAACAAGTTCGTTCAAATGATGTTAACTTTTTTACTTTGATCATATGCTTAGTACTCGAGTTAATCATGCCAGAATTTTTTTAGCTTGTCCATATTAGACTGCACCCTTTAGTAGAGTCATACATGTTGATCAAATCGGTACAGTAATTAGTATAGACTCTATTCTGTAGTAAATAACTCTTACCTTTTCGTTAAATCAATGACTATTTACATGGATCATACTAGTCTGCTCCACTTAAACCAACTTATTCAGCGAGTCATTAATACCGCATTACGTAAATTTCAAAATAGGGTTATCAAATGCAATACACATTAATATAAACTGTTTTCAATTCCAGACAATATTGGTGTAATTCACTGTCTAATAATTTTGTTGATAAAGTCAATCATCTTATATATGAATGAACTACAACGTTTCTATAAATTTTTATTATATAATTATAGAATTAGCTGACTATGAAAAAAATGTTAATCGCCAAATGCATAAATTTTCCGCCTACAGGTAAGCACTGTCATCTTTGAACACCGTATTATATTGCATTTGTTATTACCAGGATTCTCGCAAAGAACGCTTCCTAAGCGAATTGCATTACTTGAATTATTTTCATCATCCTCCTAAAGTAATAAATAAGTTAATAGAATTCAAATGTACTGTACATTAGTGCAATATCTACCCATATGTATCCATTACAATCCAATGGATGCTGTATTGAAAATTTATAAATATATATTATATAGTGGATTACGATAAGAGAAGTGATTGTTAATACCGGAATCAGTTTGACTCTTCCAGTAGTTCTCTATATCATGCAAGACCGTACTACTGTAACACTACTCAATAGCGTTAAAGTGGACTGAAAGTATGTACTAACCATAATCACATAAATAATTTTCGTTATTCACTTTCAATAAATTTAAATCAGGAAAGCCGCCAATGTTCTTGCGAAGCATCCCCAAAGAATAACTAGCGGTGCACAAGCCAAAAAATTGGTATGGCCATAATGCAAATTATCAAGCAATACTTATGTATAGTAATGAGTATCTTTTAATCCCAACTCTTTAATGTATCCAAAACGTTAACATTTGTAAAGTAATACTAAACATACATATCATTCACTGTTCCCGATTCTAACAGTACTTTTCAAAATTAATTGAATACAGTAATATGCTCTTATCGTAAATACTGTGATAATATTTCAGGAAGGTATTGGCGAGAAAATTGCTCAAAAAATTGAAGAATTTATCAACACTGGATCGTTGAAAAAACTTAATAAGGTGATAATGGATTGAAATGATTGTACTATATGTTACAATAATCATAATGAAGTTGTACAGTACATTAACCAAAGTGATATAAAGCCATTACAGAATAAAACAACTAGCACTGTAATAGGTAATGTAACTCAATAAATATTTTCAATAACTTTAATAAAATAACTTTACATTTATGCATCGCTTATATACTTATACTGTAGATAAGAGCTGATGATACAACTGTAGCTATCAATGAATTGACCCGGGTAACTGGCATTGGGTATGGCCCAGTAGATGAATAGTAAAATACCGTAGATAGAATTTACACAGCGATTTTTTCTAGCCATTATAGATACTACGATAATAATACTTACTGTAGTATCGTTATCATCCATAGGCCAGCTGCTGCACGCAAGTTTTTTGATAAAGGCATCAAATCCATCGAAGGTTAACACACTAAATTCAATAGCATTTCGTAAAATAGAGTTTCTCCTCAAATTCGGTAAACCATGACTTTACCCTTATTTCAACGTAGATTTGCGAAAACAGCAAATCCTCTTAAATCACCATCAGCAAATTGGCTTGCGGTACAACTTTTAATTTCAATATAATGTAGTAATTCTAAATTTAGTAAAATAAATTTCTACACCGTTTATCGCTCTTTTGTTTTTACTAATTAGATATGTCGATGATTTTGAGAAACGTATCCCTCGCAAAATGGTTACCGAATTCGAGGTTCAGTATTGATCGAATCATTCTAGCATAGATTTAGCTGAAATATTTTTTGTGTATCTTCCAAGTCTATACGGTACTTCTGTGTCAAGTGACTAAAGAATCTTTACCTGCATTAACGTAGGCCATAATCAAGAAAAATATTCATTCTGTCGATACAGCATACACGGTTGAAGTATGTGGGAGCTATCGAAGAGGTAATACGGCCGCATTCATACTATAATAATCGTCAGACAGGATTGGTACCAGACGCGTCATTTTTAATTGCAGGTGCTGAAAGTAGTGGTGACATTGACTTCCTGCTATCTCATCCTTCCTATACTTCTGATAAAAAAATCGGCAATAAGGTGAAGAGCGTTTATACTGTATAAGTTCACGAATTAATTGTCGCGTCTGTGTAGTATAGTGTATATGTATTAGTACTAAGTTCTCTTCTAATAGGCATCTTTATTACATCAAGTCGTTAAAAAGCTAGAAAATGCACATGTCATTACAGATACAATTTCTATAGGAAATACAAAATTTATGGTCTGTTCGATTTTAATCGATTCTGATACAGTAAAATATAATCTACCAAAGTTTTTTTCTTAATTCCAAATATTTTGCATTGCTCTACCGCAAAGGGTGTCTGCAGATTACCTGACAACGATAACCCTGATAACATTCATAGAAGGATCGATATAAGGCTAGATATAGAAATCGTAATATGGCGATATCTTCGCGCTATAATATTTAGCTATAGAACTCTACTAGTCATGAATAAAATTTTAATTGTATCCGATTAGATTATACATCTACCTTTATCTGAAACAATCTCTATCTCATTTTAGGTTACTCTGCTATGATCAGTACCTGTGTGGATTGCTCTACTTTACCGGTAGTGATCTCTTCAATAAGCGGATGCGACAAACTGCAATAGAAAAAGGATTTACCCTAAATGAATATTGCATAAGGTAAACTGATGTACAGTAGATGTACAGTATAGTAGCGTTTATGTGCCTATCTCATGCAATTATAATAAGTGTATTATACTAACATTTCTCCTTTACATTACCGCTTCTCTTATACCCAATGCAGACCAATAGGAACGACAGGTATTAGTAATGATCTATAGCGAATGTATGATACTACCAATTATTTGATTCTCAGATGTAGAGGTTACTGTATAAAACCATCTCAATTCGATTTGTTCATTTACAACCTTTCATCTAGTACTAATTGAATAATTTTTGGAGTCATGTAACTGCAATTTAGCTTATCTCTTATAATTTGACATTGCTTTTAGCTATTAGTATTCATACTGTAGTTTGCGTGACGTAGATAAGCAATGGTCATAACCTGAATTTAGTCAATCTTAAGATTAACTAAACAGTCCTAGGACTGACTAAAGGGCTAGTCAATCTTAGGATCGACTAAATTCGGATTTTTTATTATCATAACAGATATACTCGTATACTGTAAGTTTATTGAACAACTGCGTCGTAAGAAGTAAACACTATGTCGCTGCTGACAGTTACCATTACTGTGCTTGCTAGTTGGTACTTGTTTCAAAATACTTCTAGCATATGCATACCTGTAAATTTGTAACTTGTAGTAGTTGTTTACAGTTTGTACCATACTTGACAAAACGTACATTTCTGTAGTAGTCGTCTGTAATACATATATGTACTGTATATACGCGTATGCAATAATACTGATTAAACATTCTTACCTGATCTTGTATTTTGCATGTTGCTACTACATAGTGTAATACTGTAACTATTGTGAAGAATATTAATGCGTTACCATTATAAAACTTAAATATTTATTTATTTCGTTTCTGTAATGCGTAGGTGTACATGGAGAAGCAATCCCGATTACTTGCGAAGAGGACATTTTCGATATCATTCAAATGGAATATGTTGAACCTCATAAAAGGAACTTCTAAAGTTACTAGCTTACATATCTTGCCTAAGATTTAGACAGCATGTAAATCGCATACAGTATAGTATTGTGTGAGTATTAATAGTATGAAAATGAACTTGTATTACATACATCAAATATACCTGTTGTCAACTAATCTATGAAATTTCATCGAATTGATGTCATAACTTATAAAGATACAGTAAGTCATACTTCACAAATGGTGAGTATACATACATATCATGTAATTATTGTAAGTAAGCTGTCTTGGAATGGCGACAGTCATGCCATGATTGCCAGATAACTACGCAAGGGAGTCAAAGGTAACTGATTTATTTATTATATGTATATATGTACATATATATATGCCACTATATATTATTATGGGTACTGTACTTCGAATACTGAATCTTGCCATCTTCCAAGTATCTTTAACAATATAGTTAATTAATATAATAGATCCATAAAAGGCTTTAGAATAAAAGTAATAAAGCACATTTTTTATTCATTATCAATAAGGTAATGTTTACGGCAACACATATTCTCGAATATAGAATATCTTTTCGAAGCTTAGAATATTTTATCACTATATATATATGTATACTGTATATATACATTATGTAATCCAATATACAATTACAATTAATTACCGGTAATGCATCTCTGCTCTTTACCGGTGTATCGAAATTTGGTGCTCTTTTAAGTGTTTAATAAAGGTCATTAAAATCACATGCAGAAACTGTATGCTCTTGTCAAATACCTATCAGGCGGGAAATCAAGAAACATTCAATTAAAATTACAAACACACCAGCAGTATAGGTACCATTTCGAATGCTGTATTTTGCTGGATAGCAACAGATTTGATACACTAATCTTATTGTACAAATGACGACCAGATCGTTAACACGAGTAACATCAGAAGATAAGTTTTGACTGTAATATTATTTTTAAAGGTAAAGGTTGTGCCTCTGAATCATAAATTAACAACATGATCGATACATCACTTATTACTCAGAAATAATTTGCTACCAATTTCAATTATAGATATCTCAAATCGAATTTTCTATATCATACATAGTTTTTCAATCTGTAATTTAAAATGGTATTACACGACTTTAAGTTATTTATCTTCATTACAAATATTTCACTTTTTGAGGCCGAGATCAATGCAAAGTTCTGTAACCGTTATTATCAGTATCAGCGTAGAGAACATTGCTCTTTTTATAAATTATGAAACTACCCTAGCGTCAGCATTGCTATATCTAATACTGCCACTTCAGTAGTATTAATTAGGGCTAAATAGTAATAACATAAATTGTTTCAATTTGAAAATATTTAGGCTTCAGTAATAATTGACATAAATAACTGAGTACAGGTAACTCCTGCCACGGAAATTAGTAGTCTAATGTACACTAAGGTATAATTTTACTAAGACGTTCTGTGAGGATTGTAGCTTCCTTGCACTATGGTGCTACTACTAGATGTGCTTTCGTTTCCGGCCAAAACCGCCTCACGATGAGTATAATAATGATTAGCGGGATTAAGATAATCCCTCGGCTGGTGACTAGCTACCATTGTGGTAGCGCTGTTGTTACTGCTTCCATTACTTTTCCGATTTATGTTACATAATTGCATATATTCTCTAGGCACATGTCCAAAATCCTCATTACTACTTTCTGATAAATCGCAGCCACTGTGCTCGTATAAGGAGTGTAAATCTTGACTTAACCGTTCATGTGAACGAACCTCACCAGAGTCAGCGGCACTGTGATAACCATATGAAGTCGAACTTAAGTAGGAATTTCGCTTTGGTAAGTCTTCGCTCTTTGGAATGATTTCATTAGCATTAGCATTAGCATTAGCATTAGCATTAGCATTAGCATTAGTTTCATTAGTATTGACCATCGGTCTACGAGATTCACGTTGTTTTTCAAAATTATGCAGTCTAGTCGATTGCTTTAATATACTATTAACTTGCACTAATCTGGCGTTGCTGTCTAATAATCGTGAGTGTAATTTTCTATTTTTAATCTCGTGATCTTTCGCTTCATTTTTGAAGAAGTTGACCTAAGTTGATCATAACAATTCCATTAATTAACCTCAGATGCAACAATTTCGCATGTATTCAAGATCTTAATATGCACAATAAATAAGCTATTTGAATAATATTGATAGCATAGTAATGCTGAACTTTACTATTGCGGATGGCATTCAGAGTCTCCGTAAATATGATTGTGTTAACTAGATGTCTGCAATGATATAATATTTATCTTACATACCTCAGTCTGAAGTCTTAAATTTTGCTTTCTAAGGTTCTCAGTATCTTGGCTTTCTGCAATTGTATTTGCAATCCTCGGATCGGTATTAGCAACTATTAATTATTGATTGTAATAAAAATAGCGATACATTAATAATATTTAACTTACCATTTTGTCTTAGTACTTATGCTACTAGTATAGTAGTACGCTGTAGTATGAATAGTAAGTCTATTTGATTAGGATGTGCTAAAATCTATGTTCGGCTGTCAACTGATTGTCTTGGTGACAGTACTGCCGCTATATCACTAAGCTTACCTTGGCCTCTTGAATCCAAGACGGAAACAAGTTTTAAATTCTGTTTCCTTGCTTTGTGTAAGGATTCTTGAAGTTGAATAATTAAACGCTTATTTTGATTTGCCAAAGTTTTAAAATCCAAGTAATACATGGAGAAATCTTGCTGCATGCTTGCTATCTCGGTTAGTAATTCTTCAATTTCGTTCCTTAATTCACTAATAATAGATTGGCAACTAGCAATTTCACTTCTTTCAAAGAGAAGTCCTTGAGTACAAGCTTCAGATTCCATTAATTTCTGCTCTAAGGCTTTAATTTCACGGTTTGCTTGGACTAAGGCATGTTTGAGTCTTTGATTGTCATTTGTTAAGGATTCATGTTGTCTTTTCATCTCGGAATATTCAACTGTACGTTTCATTAATTCTTCATTTCTTTGTTTTAATGATCTATTCTCTGCTTCCAATAATAGCATTCTTTCTTTAAGGTCAGTAACGGTCGGTGACTTTTCATTTTGTTCCTGAAAATAGAATTAATTTATAGTTGAAAAAAATGATTTCATCGCTTGAACACTATCCTGAACAAATTCAATAACTTTCCTACCATTTCAATGCTATATTCAGTCAATGCATCGGAAAGACCAGGAACTTCATACTCGTAATTCGCTTCCATTTTCAGCTTTTTTTATTTTAAAGCGATCTGAAGATACCAAATAAGCAGCATAGAGTCAAAATTTAGCATTTCGTTTGCTTGGAAAGAACAGCACATTGCCGCCGCATAGGAGTGAAAAAAATTGGATTTGAATTTCAACTCGATTGGACATTCCTTCTTATTGACAGCGAACTTGGAGACTGTCCAGGAACAGTATGGTACTGCTGTACCTTACAGTATAAAGGACTGTATACTGTACAGTACAGTCCATCGGAATTTGCATACTGTACTGTACAGTACAGTACACTCCACTACAGTACATACAGTAGAGTACAGTACTGTACGTATGGTACTGTACAGCATCATGGTAGACAACACTGTGTCAATAAAGACTGTATTACGTCATTAAGCATGACAAAAAACGAAGTGGATCAGAAGCGCCCTTCCATACATTGTATCATGTATAAACAGTACAAAGACCAAAAATGTTTGGCATTTGCAAATGCCAAGCAAATACAATGGGCTTTGATCGTTACACATTCTTTCTATTCTATCTTCTTTCCTCCGCTATTTACAGCTACTGTATGACACTGAACAGCATAGAACAGTAAGCACACACCGTAGTACTCTTGTGTACAGTACTGTACGCATTTTACACTACCATCAAGTCTTCAACGCGCTGAACTCGACATTCTACAAGTGACTATAGTATGGTGTCAAGCCACAACACTAACTCATGGACAGTATCCTTTTTTTTCAGCAGTAGAAAGTCATTCCTAGCCATAAGCGCTTACATCCGACACATTCATCATAAAAATAAATAATAATAATAATGATGTCCGGACTTCAAAAATCGATTGGCTGTAGGGTTCATACTTTGATTCTATCCAGAAATGGCGTCAATAAACAAAAATTTACACTTGATAGCAGTGATGATAAAATTCAAAACTGGTTACTACACTACAATGTATTGATAAGATTTCACCAGCAGAACTGGTGAAGCTGACACAATATTTAACGAATTGGAGAAAAAATTCCAGTCAGCGCTTGCGTTGAACTGATAACAAAGATCGATAGCAACATCAAAAATAACATTCTTGCTATTTGTAGACCGTACTGTTTTGCATTCTTCTATACATACAATGTATGTTCTATCTATAAATTATTATAATTATTACACTGGTCGAAATGAGCCTCGTTAAAGTGAATGTTACGATCGAAAGCTGTTTACCAATTCCTTAATTTCATGTACTGTACTGTATGGCACAATGCCATATCAGAGATAAATTGCTTAAACAGCTAAGCGTACAGTATACAGTACAGTATATTAGGTTGATCAGATCTACAGTACTGTATGTACCGTACAGTACAATGTACGTACAATGGTGCGTATTTGAAATGGTTGCGACATTATCTATCGTAAGTGTGTTGGAATGACTCTCGAAAATCTCAACAAGCGGGAAATAGAACCTGGTCAAATGATTCAGATCTAAAAGCCGAAAGTACAGTATCTAGAAAAATACTTTAGTTACCCTGGGGAGAAGATGACGTGCCATTCCAATTTAATTGAACTTAAAATTGATATGAAATAATCGCCAGCTTGCACACTGGCGTATAGTGTGCACTCATTGGTCACAAATTGCATTTAATACAAGTCACGATAAGTGAAGAGCTATGCGACAATGATCATAATTAATAGGAACGTACGGTACGGTACACTGCTTAATAAAATAGTCAAGATAAACTGGCAAGTCAACGAGCTGAGCAGTGAATACCACACTATGCATGTTCAACTTATAGCTTATCCTATATGCAGGTGTTGTAAATAGCAATAACTCAACCATTAAAGTTGTAAGTTTCATGAAACGTAACAGAAGGTGTAAAAATAAAAATGCGATGTTAATATAGTAGGTGTTTAATTCCTCTCACAAACTGTCATAATATTTGTACACAATCTAATTAAGTTAACTAACCTTTCCCCGTGTTCAAAATTTCAATCATGCTCGACTACGCTCGTCGAATACCGCGTAGTATGTAGTAATACTGTACACTGATGCTAATGTCTACTTTCTAAATTTACAGTCTTTGCAATGTGATAAGAGCACGTACCTTGCTATACTTGAAAATTTCCGAAGGCACTGAAATGTTCGCGCAAATCAAGTTGATCAACACCAATTCCAAGTACTGTTTGCCGGGCATAAAGATAACAAGTATAGATAAAATTAGCAAGTTTTCCCGAACTATCAAATTTTAGATTTATCTCTACAGTAGAGTAAGCCTGAGGTAAATAAATTGAATAGTGATCCACCGGCCAGCTTAACCTAGCTTAACGGTTTCGTGCAGTGTACAGTGTACAGTACTAACTATCGACAGGTGCACAGTCCAGTACTGTAAATCCGCATACAGTACAGTACTGTACATTATTCTTTTGTATTGGACTTTACAGTACTGTACTGTACACTACAACAATACAGTACAGTACTATACTGTACACTGTACTGTACTGTACGGTACGTATAGTACAGTATACAGTACAGTACTGTACAGTACGTACTGCACTTGTACAGTACAGTACAGTACAGTAAATGCTAATTATTATTAATTCTGATCATGTTATGTATGGAATTTGCGTGGCGTAAAAACTACAGTACAATACAGTACAGTAATGCACTGTACAGTACCTGTCCTGTACCGTTCCGTTCCGGACTGTACTGTAGATGTAATTTACTGGTCCATGGTATTGTACTGTACAGTACTGTACAGTACAGTGTACAGTACAACAATGATTGGTATCAGTGACGTCGCAGTCCGAAATTTCTGTACAGTACAGTACGGTATATTCAATTTTCAATCAATCAATACTGTACCGTACACTGTACTGTACTGTACAGTGTACTGTACTGTGCAGTATTACAGTACTGTACAGTACAGTATAATGGCACGGTATTACGACGTGAATTGTACAGTACGACGGTTGCAGCGACCGACATGTAACAGCAACTGATAGTTTATATTAGAAACTTGAAAGAAATACAACTATTCAATACTGCGATATAAAGTAATAAAAATATTAAGAGCCAATTGCTCAACGTCGTACTGATCTGCCTGCATGGAATTGGAGCCAAATTTAAACTACATTTCTTCAAAATTGAAAGACGTAATTTAAGGCAACACTCGAGCTGAACAACTTTCAATCATTTCGCAGGACTCGCTACGTGGTCTTACAGTTGTATACTGTACAGTACAGTATTACTGTACAGTGTACAGTAATAATGATCCCGGTGTTAAAGGTTTTCATGGTCTGGCCTAGTCGCAGTGTACTGTACATACTGTACTATACAGTACACTACAGTACAGTACACTAGAGCATGGACTACTAGAAAAATACCTGGACCGGAAACTCCTTTGGACGGACAGATATTGGGCCTTATTTGATCAATAAATTGTGTCAAACACTTCATTATGACACTACTTTAATATGCAGATAGTCGATTCTGAACTGACTGATTTTTTTCAATTCAGTAATATTACATTGCATTCCATTACCTGTTACTAAACTCTGCTTAAAAGTAGTCGATTTAGATCATGAATGTTATTCAAATTGATAAGAGAGATTTCGTAAATAGAAACCGAAGATCTATACTGAGTAACTATTTTTCTACATTTCGGCCTTATCTGGTATGTAAGGTCCATCCGTCCGAGGAGAGTTTCCAGTCCATGTATTTTTTTTCTACTACTGTGCATTGTACTGTACATTTACAGTACTGTACAGTAGTCTACAGTACAGTAGGACTAGAGCAATGGCTGAGTTACTGAAAGCGCTGAAATACGCGAATATACATTATACAGTAGATTACGGTCTGGTCCGGTACACGTCAAGTCTACAGTACTTCGCCATCAGTAAAGCACTGTATAGTACAGTACAATATACTGTAGTACGTCATCCCTAACTAATAACAGTACAGAGTATAGTACAATACTCGTAATTCTTCTTCTCCTCTTAGGTAGTGCAGTAAATCAATGTCTTCCATACTACTCGGAGGATTTCAACGTCTAGCAAAAGCAAACATTGGCCAAGCTCCAGAAAGATTAACACGTTCTATTTGTAATGTGAGCTTATTTTAACTGATGTTACTAAAATTTCTGCATACGTCTACACTATATATCATACAGTTCAGCACTAAATTAATTAATTGTACAGTACTGTATATGCAATTTACTGTACTTGATTGATTGAAAAAGTAGAAAACATGAACAGTATGTTAACGATGATTGTTAGCTAGCCCACTGCTTTTGACAAGACAGGTTTATATATCTTGAACCTTTTCTGTATGTATTTATATCTCTCTATATAGATGGGTTTGACAGAAACAAGCATTCACAATAAATTAAGCGAGCGTTTGAAACCGATTCATCTAGACGTAATAAACGAGAGTAATATGCATAATGTGCCCAAAGGTATTCCGTTCATTCAGTACTTATGTTAAGTTAATATGATATACGCGTATATATCCCATTAATGTCCAGTGCTGAATTTGAAATTAATCGATTGTGCTTATTCTAGGCTCGGAAACCCATTTCAAAGTCATTATTGTTTCCGATTTATTTAATGGCAAATCATTACTCCAGGTACACGATAAATAAATTAGATTCGTTGAAATCTGGTATTGCTCATGGGTTAATCGTGCTACGCAGAGATGTTTGCAGCTACTGTCACTGACAGACGATACAGCATTAAAAAATAGCGCTTAATCAAAGAGCATTCTTATTACCGAATCACTTCAATGTTTACCTTGTAATATTGGAAAGTAAGAAATGAGACGTTATTAACGTTATGTTATACTTCATCGGTATAGAGACATCGAATGGTTAACGAACTCTTGGCTGAGGAATTAAGTGGATCGGTTCATGCTCTAAGTATTCAGGTATTCCTTCTATATTTACCGAGTAAAGATAGGGTTCACTTGTTGACGACTATTCATTGAAATGTACAGGGATGTATTTTAGTTATAGCTAGCTAATTCCCGCACACCTACCTGTGCGTTGTTACTATACGGTAATTTGGTTGATAGTCTGGGGACAGTTAATACTGTAACTACGTTCAAGATGTAAGTTTAACAAAGGATTGATTGAACACTCATTTTCGGACAGTACTTTAGTATAGACCTTGTACAATATGATACAGTATTATTTCAACTATTGACACTGTCCGCAAAAGCATCTCAAATGTCGGATAACTTTCTATAATTACTTTACATAGGCGAAAACGTCTCAGCAGTGGGAAGATTCAAATCATCATATTACAAAATCGCCTCCATGCTTGGGAGGTAGTGGTAAATGAAGTAGTTAAAGAAGCATGGCTTTTAGGAAAATAAATTCCTTTCAATTCTTAATTTCTGTAACAGTAAACTCTTAAATTTTAAGTCAAAGAACTGTACATAGAATTATATTTTACAGTATTTCGGTGGTAACCTCATTACTTTATTTGTTCGCTTTGAATTTAACTGGAAGAGTCTCAATGGCATATAAATCGTGAGTTAGTGAATGCAATTCGTTCAATGTATGCGAATATACGCCTACATTATTTAGCTATTTCTAAGCCAATGGTTTCTGGTACAATAACATTATTAAAGCTGCATAAATTAGGATAGGAAATTTGCGTAGAATTGATAAATATAAATTATTGCCTTGTAATAAACTGATCATATTTAATTTTTGCTATTATGAGTTGCTAATTAAGATAATCGTGATAACTGTAAATTATTTTGGCATGAAGGAGAGTCATAACGACACCTTTCTAAATCGACTCTTATTGCTGTTGTGTAGGACACATTATGATGTTATTAAATATATATTAATTAATACTAGATGCACTCACGCTGTTCTTTGATGTTAGCTAATACCACTATTTCTTATGATATGTCAATTGAAGTTATCGCTTCATATTACCCAGCTACTTTGCATTGAAAACATTTAATCTGAACTTTTTATAGCTAAACGCATTACGTGATATTAAGTTCTTTTGTGGGTAATTATTTCAGTAACACTAGATAACCGCTGCAATAACTCTTCGCGACATTTCTCTCTACAGCATTGAATATAGATCATAGTAGATCAGCAGACGGCTGTGAATGAAAATAATTCTACTATATAATTTCAATATAGTGAGTGCTGTTGATATATGCCAGTTATTATCTTAAAATTAGCTAACCTACTCAACGCAACTTCATTGTAAATAGTTAGTGCTACTACCGTAACAAAGTTTGCTTTATCGTTTGAATTCTTTTAGTACAATTAGATGAAGCAAATATTCAAAGATTGCAGGATAAATGATTTCATTATAATTATCGAAGCATCTATCATACGAAGTGTTATATTTGCTTACAGTAATAATACTAAAATTCCAACTGGAAGACTTATTTCACGCAGATCCATTCGCTATTTAACAGTTACAACATAAGTTTCGAGATTATGGTTAAAAATATTTTAATTTTTTGATTAAAAAGTTGTTACAAATGTTATTATTATCCATTTTGAATAAAGCTAATTAATCTGGCGCAAAGTAGCCGGTATCAAGTGAAAAGCCTTGTTGAATTAACTTATATACAATTTTATTTCATAACTTATGGCAAATATATCAAAAGCTTTCGAAACTTACTTTAGCTGCTATTTAGGTATTGTATCGATGTTACTGCGTGACCTTTAGATGCTTGATAGGTGGTAATTGTTTTTCGTTTATGAATCTTATTTCTTTTTATACTTGACGTTGAAGTTTCGTGTAATGACGAATCCCTTACTACACCTTTGCTGCATCCACAAACACTATACAATGCATTTCGGTATGAATCATTGAAGAAGCTATAGACAATTGGATTACAGCAAGAATTAATATAGCCTATCCAGTTAATGGTAGCATAAACCATTGAGTACGTTGTTTCATCTTCGATCATATTAAAACCGTAATCGGTTAAGATTGCGAAAAGATAGGCAGGCAACCAACAAACGAAATACAGTCCCATAACAACACCGCATTTGATAGCTGCAATACGTCTTCTGCGCAATATACTTTTTGATTTGCTGTCAAGCCTGAATAGCTTCTTGGATTTTATTAAGGACATAGATATACTGGTATAAAAGTATATGCTAATAATGAGAGGTGCAATTAGACACGATGAAAACATGATTAATGTGAATATTCGTCTACTACTATCACTATACCAGACTTCACGACAGAAATCACCCATCGTACCTAGAGGCACAATAGTTGTAAATTGCAGTAATACGATCGCAAACGGTCCTGCTGCTATCCAAGAACACGCTATAATTATCATTGCAGCCTTAATTGATAACTTTGATTTTAACGGATACACAATTGCCCGATATCGATCATAACTGATAGCAACTATAGTAAATGATTCTGCTAATACTGACAGAGTTTGTGAAAAAGTTTGCAATTTACACATGACTAAACCGAATGGATACAAGTGAGTTATAGTAACAACAACCGTAAATGGCAAATTAACACACAAAATAATCAAGTCTGCAATAGCTAAGTTAAACAGCAAGACGTTAGTTACAGTTCGAACCTTCTTACGAGCTAAAACAACTGTGCAGAAGCAAAGATTACCAATTAATCCAGGAATAAAAACCAGGGTGTACATTGTAATAATAATTACAATCAATGCTGTGTTTTTGATACCAAATGAAAAAATTTGTACAGTTGGTGTGCTCTCATTAGATATGGTATAATTTCTGAAATCACCAATGGAAGTTATATTATTCTCCATGATTATATGGTATGATTGTATTTCTGTCAAGTACAAACTTTAATAAAGTGATTCAGATCGTAGATTAGGATGTTGATCGATACTGTCTTGTTTGGTTCAAATACCTGCGTGAATATAAAAAAATCACTTTTGAGACCAGTGTAGTCATTCTGCTAACATCCAACTGTAATTAACGCCTAAATTATCGATATAGATATGTACATGATACACAGATCTCTTTACATGTATGCACATAACGGTCAGTTTTTAAAACTGATTATCTCTTCGTTTCTGGTCATTAATGAGGAGCGTCATACCAGTATAACATGGAAATCATTGAAAAGTGACATGATTCATTTCATCCTAATTAATACTATACAGTAGCTTGTTTAGAGAAGCAAGTTTTATACTAGGCTATGATTTCTTAAATGCAAGTGTTACCACTTAATTAGTTCTTCGTTAAAAAAAATGATAATCAGTTTTTACTTACAAATTTGAAGGGACTGTAAACAGAAGGGTTCTTTATTTAATTTTAGCTAAAATTTGATTCTTAAAGTGTTCGTTATGGGCTCATTCTATAGCACGCCGCAATGTTTGAGTACGAAAATCATCAAATATCTATGACTGACAAGTTTACGGAGCTTGAACGATAACGTCTGGGTTATACTATTTCTGGACCAGTTTATAATCCCATATAAAATTCTAGGAGTTAATTGAAAATCGCGATGATTACAACGATCAATTCTATAGCTTGCACATCGCAAGCTATATTTCATTATACGTCTACGTCGACCTCATGCAGACTAATGCAATATACGCGTATATGTATACATAGATCATCTATAAACAATGCGCTTTGTTATTGCCACATGCTGAGTAATTGTGCATCAACACAACGATAAACCGAATTCATAGAGTTATAATATGAGTGATTTAAAACGCATTACTGTTAAAGTTATGGATACAGATGGTGTTTTGGATCGATCACAACTTAATGGAAGAAAGAATAAAAATTAAACAACTATTCATTGAAAAAAATTATCAATAGCTAATTTAAGAAACTCTTCTCGGTAAGCATCAACATATATTTAATAGATTATTGTTGTCTAAATAGACTTGCACTGTTCTGATACACGGATCTAACGCGACAGTGTAACGATATTCAAAAATAATCCACCTATCAATAAGCATTATCAATTTGTGAACTTTGGCAGTGTTAAATGATTAATTAATTAAATTATTTAGAGATAAACTTGACTAACTAATGTAGTTTATTCATGAAGAATTACCTGACCAAATCCGTAAAGTAGTCCAACATAATCATCCTAGTATAGCTTTATAAACAGAATGATATATCGACGACAACCGCGATCAAAAGTGGGAGTAAGATCTTTCATAACATTATAACAAAGTAGTCAGTATCTATTGTCGATTACTCTGTGCACGAGTCCACAATTAGTATTATCGCTTTTTAAAACGGATACATGAAGATATAATCTACGTGTAGGCAAAGAAGTGTAATAAGAAAATCAGATGATGATTTAGATTACAGAGAGTAACAATAGTCCCTCTTGTTTTCTATGCCTCTTCTAGATAGGATAATCTATAAATTTTATTCCACAATTTAAATATCTTAACCGAACAGGAAATATTAATCTTGATTCTTTGGATAATACATCTGGCTTAATAAATACATTCTTGTAATCCTATTGTATATTGATGGCTAATTGAGTAACAGATACGGTATCAAATATTATGTAAATATAATGGTTGTAAAATGGTATAAAAAGCATCTATGAATTCAAGATAAAAGCTATAAATATTGACCACTCCTTCAATAATACTTGACTAATATTGTAGTAAATATAAAAATCAATTTATAAAAGTATCCTTAGGTCATTTATATATATTAACATGTAATATGGCAAAAAATTTAATGTGTATAATGGCAAATATTTGATTTTGATCTTGTTTGTTAAATAGTAAACACGCAGTAACTAAACGATTCCCTTAACCGGGCTCTAAATTGTGCATAAATGACTAAAGTATTTTAGCAGCAAGAAGCTTCTTCTTGTAGCTGCCACATAGAATAAAGTATAAAATTGCTGTAGAGATCTATCATAGATTACATACATAGTAATAATTTAATATACCGCACATGCAAATGTTGAAAAACTACTTAGAGATACATAAGTTACTTAAGATGGTGTTGGGAGTAGTTCTAATTCTCCCTTGTACTGTGTACGTATAATATTAACGGTTAATATTACCAGATGATCTTACCTACACAGCCTTTATCTGACATGATTCAAAATTGATTACTGTACTTATATTCTGACGGTGTACATTTTTATAAGAAATCCGTCATTATTATTTTTTTAACGTCAGATTTTATTTACTGTACTATATTTTGCTAAATATTGGTTATGATTTACGTCATTTCAAAAATGAAAAAGTGGCCATTTTGTGTAACACAGTATTTTGATTTGCGAGAAAAATATTATATACGAGTAATTTATGATTTCCTTATTGTATTACCGAGGCCAAACTACTATCATTCAAATGTTGTAGGTTCTAGGACACTCATTAGAATCTACCTCGGTCTTACAGGGTTATAAAATTTAATATCATGTATTTCTAAATTTGTTAACTAAGAATAAATACGGTAATACCAGCAAATGTTTACGAAAATGCTGCATATCGTCGAGGGAATTCGAAGTATTTCGATACTGTACCAAACTCTGCTTGACGTTCTCAAAATAATCGCTCTTATTATAGCTTTTAGCTCTTAAAAATGCCATAAGTTATCTGCACTAAATTATTTTTGTATTGGTATGGCATAATTTCTTCTTTTCAGCTAGAAGTTTCTTCCCAATGTGTCATTTGTTTGTTGTATTTATAGTTACCATCAGACTCTCATTTTCTCTAGTATTTCGGTATAAAGTTATTTTTCCCGTGCTTCTTATTAATACATCGTGGTGTGCCGCTGTAACGGAAAATGATGCTTTCAATGATACGATCTCTTTAAAATCTGTATGATTATTACTATTATTAAAATAGTACCGTTTCATTATGACGAAAGTGCGCCTAAACTGTAAGAAATTTATAGGATAATTCCTGACTCCGGTATTGAAAATTGACATATTTCGAACGGTTCTTCTAGCCAGTTATATTATCTCCAGCTACTCGCCTTTCAAAAAAACAATTTAGTAATAATTTTATTAATTGACCAGTCGTACTTGTCATGGTGCGATAAAATAAAAAATATAAAATATTTCATGGGCTGTCTGTCGGTTAATTTTTACCCACTTATTATTCTGTAAGCAGAGAAAGAAGACTTTTGGATAATTAGTCTAACTTTTTTTCATCTTTGAGAGAAGTTTTTCGCTAAAAGTGCTCCATCACAGTAGACTCATTCAATCATACTGTATAATGTGCATTCGATGTCTCAGATCCTGTAGTGAAGCTTCAGTAAAAAATGCTATAAATCAAGGATAATACTGTGAGCCAGTGGTGATTGGTGTACAGTATAACATATATATAAATTGCACGTTAAAGGTTCAAGTATAGCACGCAAAGTATTCACGAGCGAGTATAGTATAATCGGAGTACAGTTTCTACTTATTAATCAGTTCTAGCATCAACACTATCTAGCACGGCGAAAGATATTTGAGAAATGCTGCGGTGCACTGCAATTGCACAGCAGAATTGACATGTTGAATTGATAGTGTTTTTATTAGGGAAACCTGAAAGATGGGATTGCAAAGAGCACAGTACTGTACTGTCTTCACGAACGAGTATAGTATAATCGGAGTACAGTTTCTACTTATTAATCAGTTCTAGCATCAACACTATCTAGCACGGCGAAAGATATTTGAGAAATGCTGCGGTGGACTGCAATTGCAAAGCAGAATTGCTAGTGTTTTTATTAGGGAAACCTGAAAGATGGGATTGCATAGAGCACAGTAACTGTACTACTGCTAAATTCTGCAAAGTACAGTACTGTCTTCACGAACGAGTATAGTATAATCGGAGTACAGTTTCTACTTATTAATCAGTTCTAGCATCAACACTATCTAGCACGGCGAAAGATATTTGAGAAATGCTGCGGTGCACTGCAATTGCAAAGCAGGATGGACATGTTGAATTGCTAGTGATTTATTAGGGAAAGCTGAAAGATGGGATTGCATAGAGTACAGTACCGTACTACTGCTAAATACTGTAAATCCGGGATTTACTCACTGTAGGACTGTACTGTACGTTGTCAGCAACTGAGTGACGTGTAGTCACGTGCTCACTGCTAAATGTACTGTACTGTACTGTAAAAGAAAAAGCAACTTCTGTTCCTTCTGTACGGTACGGTACCGTACCCTACCGTACCGTACTGTGTTGTCTTCCTTTTCTGACTGTATTTTAGCCCAAAGTAAAACAAATAGGCCGTCAAAGGCGAGAAGATAGAAAAAAAATTTTTTTTCCAAATCCAAGATTGGCGACTGGTTTAGTGCAAAAGTAATTGACGTTGAATGCCCTAATTCAACGTTATTGGTCTGACAATACGGTAAAACTATTCAAGGCTGTTGATTGCGTTAGGAAGAGAGCGAGAGATATTAGCCTTTCTGTGACAGTCACCAGTGGGCTATAGTGATTACGGTAGTTTTGAACTCAGAAATTGCCTTTTCTTTCATACGGACGGTGCTCAAACTGTTGTTCACAGTGTGATTATACAGTCATGGTGAAAACAACGCTTACCAGTAGTACTAACGAAAACGATGGAGGCAATTCCGTCGATGGATCAACATCAAGGGGAGAAAATAAAGAAAACAACGACAATCTTAGCAATGATATCGGTTCTAGACGATTCGAAAAGCCCATTCAAGTGGCAGATAAATGTATGGCCAGACGAATTGATGACACGTGGCGTAAGTTCTACTAGAAATGGTGAATTATCATCATATCTATACTG